AATTTTTAAGAAATTAAGGACCTACATGTACATGTATACAATACATACACATGTACGGTAGCTCGCCAAGTGACTATTTACGTCATCGGCACTTAGCAGAGCTGTTAGAAAAGGGCCATACAATTGTTGGCAATATCCAGAGAAATGCCATATTTTTACAGCGGTGGATTTTCCCCAAATGATGATGAATGACTTGGGCTGGCTCCTAGTCTGGCCTCCTAGACATTCCTTCCTGCTGTAAATCACTGATGGGTGACCTTCCTTTTGTTTAGCAATGCTATGGCAAGAACATTTTAATGGGTCAACAGTGTGTGCTTGGCCTACAAAATCCCTGTGTCATTGTAGTGCACATTCTGCCTTCCTTTTAATAATGTGGTGTATAAATTTAGCGCTTAAAGGGAATGTACATCATTTGCTTTTGCTGTAATTTTCAGAAATGGATGGATTTGGGGGCTTGGTAATATAAAGCAAACATTGTTACACTGACTTTTTTGATGTTTTGGGTTCGTAGATGCTATAAAAACCAAGAAAAACAATCATTTACCTGTAGTCTGGTTCCCTGACTCCATCTAAAATGAAACGGAGCAATTTATAGACGTTGGGAATTGTAAGGTCAGGGAACCAGTCCAGCTGGCTTATACCCTTTCACATGTGTGTAATCGATTGCAAACAAATGAAGACTAGCTAAATATGGTCAAGTGGGGCCAGTATTTGAAATAAGCCAGTTTTTTTCCAACGCTGGTTGGCCGATCATTTTTGGAAATTGATACGAAAATACCTCTTTCTTGAAAAGGACAGTATACCAGGTGCCATGATTTTACAGGATGCTTTACACTGTCATTCACTAACAGTCCAGCAAGGTATTTCAAAATGATTTGGTAGTTTTAATTTTTGATGTTTGCAAATGTTGTATTTTCCCTTTAATACATTGTACCAAAGGTCTCAAAGGCAAACAGAACCTCTGCACTGCACTGATACTGATAGGATGTGCGATTTATTAAAAAAACAACCGAAAAAACATCGGAAAGTTTTTATCCAGTACCTGGTATTACAATACAAGTACAAACTGGTACCTGTGTCAATCCTTCTTATTTGAAAATCACAGGCGTGTGGAAAAAGGCACACCTGGATTTTTCTAGGCGTGTGTTTTTTTCTAGGTGTGTGGTTTTCTAGGTGTGTGATCTGTGGTCCAGGGAAATTCAGGCCTGCAATTATTCACACTCCTCGGGAAGCTTTTAGGTGTGCGATGGTGTGGGGGTGTGATCGCACGCCTCAAATCAGAAGGACTGCTGTGTTTTGTAATACTGGATACTGGGTTAGCTTTCGATTTTTTGGGGGGTTATTTTTTTATTTTAATAAATGGCACATGTATGGTATAGTTGAAAAGTCACACACTTGGCTGCATTTCTGCATGTCTGAACACCTAGCTGGGCTAAATTTATAAATAAGAGATCCCATTCCCATGTGGTTTATTTATAAGCCGTTATCGATATCAGGCCTGCAAAGTAACTCGAGCCTGTCTAGTGTTAACTTGTTTCCTTCTATCTGCAGAATTTGTTAAGGATATTAAATACACGCTACACACATACCGGTACTTGTTCCCTACCGGTAGTTGTGGGGAGTACACAGGAGTTATCCCTTGGTGCTATGGGGAGCGAAGATGCTATGGGGAAAGCACAAAGTCCCCATAATTGACCTATCGCTGTTTGCGAGTCAGCCACGCCCCTTAGACAACCCTATGGAGTTTTTGTACACTAATTTTAAGTTGTCTCAGATTTTACGCGTTCAGCGTCCATTTTTGTATATCATGTAATTTGACAATATTTCACAAGCTGCGTTGATGTGATTCTAACACGATAGGTCAATTCGGTCCTAATTTGACTAACAAAAACGTTCCCATAATGCCGTGACGGTCTGCCCACTGTACACCCATACATACCTACCGGGTATGCATGAGAGTGTATTATGTATACATTTTACATGTTCTTGTGAGGAAACGTGCACAAAGTTGAGACGGTCCCCTACATTAACAATTACATGGCATTGGGTCATTCATCTTGTTGTGTGAATTAATTAGGGAAACATGTATACGAAGGTCTCAGTTAAATGACATTAGTTCTGTGATACAGTTTGCTGCTGGCCTGCTGGGAGTCCTGTTTCACAGCACGCGACAGACACAGGTACCAGTACATTGCACGTCCCTGGGAAATTGATGTTTTAATTAGGAAATGGAAGATGGATTTTGTTCCTATTTTTTTCTTGAGTAGTAAAATATAGTGTACAGTCTAGTACACAAGGACAACTCTTTCATTAGTCTGGTTTCCCGACCTGACAATTTCCGCCGACGTCTACACGTCTAAATTGTAGGTCAGGCAGCCTCCGTGGCTAAAAATAAACATGACGACATTGACGGCCCTTTTTCAAAGCTCGGCTTCTAAATAAAAGCAATGGATATTAATTATCAACTAGTTTTTTAAAGTTTTTAATAAGCAATTAGCAGTTAATAAAACCTATATACTCGGACACTATCCGATTGTCGACGAAATGAATTCGGCAAACTTCGGACAGTTTCGGAAAAGGAGGAATTCCTCCCGTTTTAGTCACGTGATGTAAATTGTAATACATTGTATTACCGGAGGCTACCTGACCTAAGATTCATTAGGAATAGTCGGAATCTTTTGGTCTGGGAACCAGACTACTCTTTCATTGAATTGTGATTTAAAGGTGTGCACTTTACTGCCGAAAGTTGACTATAAAATGGAATACATACATGTACGTATGTATATTGGAATGCACATGCTTGCATAGTAATTAGCCAGAGGATTGTGGTATGTTTTGGACACCAAGTGTAATGCAGATGTGTGTGTAATTTGTCAATAAAAAACTAAAACAATTTGAATACCTTTTTAATTTGCCTCGGACACCCACATTTCCTTTGCTGTCTTGTGTGCTGACTGAAGCCTTTTTTTTAACCGTTGCGGAAGAAATTAGTTCAACTATATTGCTTCTGATTGCATGTTTGTTGTTAAAAACATCTGTAGTTTTTTTTTGTGAAGAGAAGCTTTTCCTCACAAGTTTTGATGCTTATATATTTACAAGTCAATCATGCGAGAATGCCTGCGGTAAACAAGTTGTCGGCACACATGTCCAAGCATTGCAAACAAGTTGGCGGTCACTACAAATATCCTTAATTGATTGAATTCTGGTGAGGATGGTCAACAATTCACAATAGCTGCCTTAATTGAAAAAAATCAACTTTTTATGATTTTTTGCTATCGGTACGTCATAATTATCAAGGCAGTGATGTGTAATGAAGTATGACATCATGACCGTAGGATGAACCCAAGGCAATTATCAAAGCAACAGTCAGCAGTGTTTGTTTGTTTGTTTATCACAGTGTTTATTTTCTCTGCATCATTTTTTCTGCATTTCAGACAGCAAAAAAGAACTACTATTTGTTGGTTTTGGATTTATTCTAAGGGAAGGGGAATTGGGTTGGGAGGGGCTGTAGCCTATTTCAGGAATTTAGTAAAGCTAACTACCGGTACTGGTACAGTGGTAGTGGTGGTACAATGTATGTCACATGTCTTTGGCATTTTTAATATAATATACGGTAAATCTACGTGTATGTACACACACGTATGCACCGGAATATTGCAACCTTAGTAGTACAGCATAGTGGTGGGATTTAAATCCTGATTTTTCAAAATTTGTTTTTAATTCCACCTCATCCCCATTCCACCCCGTCTCCACCCACCCTCCTTGCCTGTGAGCTACCGGTACATACGTTTTTCCACCTGTAGTATGTACAGTTCATCTCATCATAACCAAAGTTGTACACCTTTTCTGACATACATGTAATGTACAAATCACCAACAAATTGACTGATGTTCAATTTCAAATGTACCCCATGCACACGTGTTGCTGCCCTTGCAACAAACACAATCAGCCATTGAAGTACCCATGTATGTTTATTGTTGTAAACCACCCAGGATTATGTGGTTGTGTACATGTAAGGTATGGTAGATGTAGCTCTATGGTTAGTGCATGTATACAGTATCATTGTATACCCTAGCCAGCTTTGTACAAGGTGATAATTAGAGTACTTTGCACACCCCTATCACCCCCAATAGCCCAGTGTGTGACCTTGACCTGAAACAGGGACAAAGTACACCAACTGTATCAAGCACTGGAGGCAGTAAGAGCCCATGCCTTTACAATTATTTAGACTGAATGGACCTTTCTTGTGGCTTTCCTGTCAAAACCTGGTCATCAATGGTCTTACAACCTTGCAAAATTTGTGCACTGATTGTTCAAATGTACATGTACACACAGATGTACCGGTACAGGTACCTAACCAACAAAACACAGGGGGAAAACAGGAAAAGTCCAGTTAACGTTTTATTGTATCACTACATGTACCGTATGCATGGACTGTAAAGTTAAAAAGAATGAACCGGTAATAAAGAACGTGCTTGAAACCTGGTGTGCAACTTTTATTCTGTTCGTCATGAATCTCCTGAAAATCTAATTTTCATTTACCAGGCATGTCATGATATTATAATAAACTATTTTACAAATAACATGTATGAACAATGAATTGGTACCGGTACATATAATGTGTTGGTAAACTGCGTTACACGTAAGTCACAATTATTTTATGTCAGTGAAGGGGAAGTTATTAAATTACCGTGTGTTTTGCCAACTTTATTAAACATACCGGTAATGTATACATTAACCTGCTTTAAAAAGTCAATAAACGTTACCACAGCTTGCACTTGTTTTCAAATTTTTCCCAGGGTCAAGCTTTTATTGTACGTACACTACTGTAGTACTACTAGTCCAACGCTGAATTTTTCAGATTTTTCTCTGACGAAGTTTACTTTGGTGTTGTAAACAGTGACCATGACAAGCCAGTTCTAATCCACAGTACCCTGAAATGATTAATAGTCGAGGGTTTAAATTTATTCCATCTCCACTCTTTCCTTTATCTCTTGCAGACATGTGCGCCCACAGAAGTGAGTGACTCGGCCGCGACAGTCGGGCTATATTTGAAACCTCCCCCCCCCCTCATCGACCCAGCGATTAGCCCCTTGGCCTGGTTAGGAGGTCTCAATCACCACCCCTGGCAAGCAGGTTAAATGCCAAGACGGACGTCACAACCAGGGGAAGTGGAAAATCAGGAATAAACTTGTCTTGCTACCTAGCGCAGCAAGTCCAGATTGGCTGAACTTGTTTCAGAAAGTCATTACGTCCAGGTGGGAGCCAAGGAGGGGAAATTTTGACAAGATGGCCGTCCGGCCGAGAGCGGGAAGGATCTTGTTTTGTGGATTGGTGTGCTGGATTCTGATGCTTCTCCTTGTGGGAGGAAATGAAGTTGGTAAGTTGGGGCTACGTTTACCTTGTAGTCTGACAAGCTAAAGTCTGTAAGTTGTTAACTTGAAAAGGTTGAACAGGTATCAGGTACCTTACACATACTTAGTGTACATGTACACTGTAGGTGGTCTGCTTTGCAGACGTAACATGAGTTCAGCCGGGTTCATACTCGGCGCAAAAGCGAATGTGAACTCAAATTTGTGACGTCGGGGCAAATTTTCGCAACCTGTATTGGCAGCGATTGCCTCGATGACGTCAAATTCGCATCATATAAATTTGAATTCGCATGAAGTATGAACCAGGCTTTACGCAACAGTACATTTGGAAAAAAAATATTGTGTGTGTTTGAGTTGCAAGAATACAGAGTAGGCCTACCGGTATTAGTCAAGAGGCTATCCAGCCATTGTGCTGATCAAGCAAACCCTTTCTCTCTTTTGTAGTTCGGTGACCAGGCCCCAATTTTATCATTCCTAATTAATTTAATTTATTATGCTGTATACATGTATAGTACAAAAATGTATTCAAGTCTCATACGTGTAGGTACATGTACTGCTCAAAGTGAATGAGAGAAAATCAAAATTGTTTTGATAGAATATTTTAACAATGTGACCTTTCGCCAGGGGAAGGCTATAAATTCAATTCATTGGTGGATAAAATGTACTATGCCCAAAGCACTTTATGCTGTGTTCAAGTACATGTAATCTGGGCCGTTTAAATTTTCAATCCCTTTGTTTTATCTTGGACACTTATTTTCTGCCATACCGGTACATGTCATGTACATCTTATTTTCTAAGTCTAGGCTTTTATTTCCAAGGAACCTGCCTGTGTTCCTCTTTCTGAACCATCCTGAATTGTCCTATGTGCAGGAAATTGAAATATGCTTATAAATTTCAAAATCCATTATTATGTCCGACACTTTATGGCTTGGCTTTACGTTTACGTTTTTTACTCTCCTCAATCCTTCATATCATCCAAATTCTCTTGAAAGACAGCCCGTTACAGCCTGTCACGCGAATGTGAATGCAAAACGAATTTGACATCATGAGCCAATTCCTGTGAAATTTGCCGGAAGTGAATTTTGTTCAGTTTCAAACGCAGCACGAAAACTTACTATATATATTGTCACCACTTTGGGTTTGCCATTTTTCTTTTGTGCTGAGTATCTGTATAATACCGGAGTCTTATATAGCGCACGTATCTACCAACAATTAGGTACCCGAGGCGCTGGAAATTATGTCTATTATTAAAGACAGGCAAATGAAGTTGAGAAAAAGGCGAAAAAATGTAGCACCTTATAACATGTATACAGTTTTTTTTGCAGCCACTGCCAGAAACACCGGGGCAAACACCTTCTCTTAATAGCGATAACTGTTACTGGGTTCTTTAATGTACATGACACAACACACGGGACCTACGGCTTTACTGGTACATCCCATCCGAACCGGCCTTGAGGGTTTGTTATCAACCTGAAGTTAAGTAATTGACTTTCTTTTCTCATTTCTCTCTGAAGCGGGCATTCCAGCTTTAAAGCGAGTCAGACGTCAGGATGAGGTGTTGTACAGCAGCGTGTGCGAGGGCAACACCATGAACCTCCGTTGCCGTCCCGGCCTGCAGATTCAGGTGGAATCGGCCAACTTTGGACGGACAGACACCGTCACGTGTGTCAAGGGCCCCGTCAAGGTCACAAACTGCATTCAGCCGGAATCGTTTGCGATCGTTGCAGCGAGGTATCTTAAATGCATTTTTCTTTATTGTTGTTGTTGTTTTCTCAGTTTAAGGTTTGCAGGGTGGATGTGTATGGGTTTTTTTTATGCTGATATTAAATTTGGAAGTTTTGTAGAATACCAGTGCTTTCTTTCAAGTACAGTATGTATACCTTCTGTGGAGTCAAATGGGAAGAGAAACTGGAATTTGTGTTGGGAAACTGAAATTATATGTCTGACTTATTTCAAAACTACGTGTGGAAATAACTTTATGAAGCTTGCTCAATCTTTGTAAGTTAATCAACTTTATCGATGCAGATGACGCACAACATTATTGTAAACAAATTTCTCCTATTTTTCCCATAAAGATATTTGTTTTTGGTATAAAAAGCCTTCAAGGGAAAATTAACTACCGGTACAGTAGTTTTTTAGTATATTTACTCAATGTTTGGGGAAAAAAACACTAATTCCAGGAAGGTTCTCAGGATTTATGCTCCCAACTTTCACAGTACTGTTTCTCTAACATACAATGACTCTGTCTCAGAAAGCATTGGTAGTAATAATTATAAATCAAACAGTTGGTTATTTGTAATGGACGTGATCATTATCTTCACAGCTACTGACTTTGCCTCACCTCCAATTAACCCCAATTTAAAAACATGTCTTCCTCTTTTTGCATAATAATAACTGGTCTCTCACTGTCTCAAATGTATTTCATACTGTACAACAAATGCAGCCACTAGCTTTTTTGAAAAAGAAATCATCATTAGTCTATCGTTTAACTTTTGTTTTCAAGTTTTCATTACACAGAAGCAAAAGTGATCTTCATTACTTCACTGAATTGAAGATGTGTTCCCCTTTTTATTATTTGTTTATATTTATTTTCATGCAGCATTTGGAAAACATTTTCAATGTGCATCAATACAATAAATACATGTTAAACTTATCTTTTTTTCAAACCGAAATGATACCGATACTCCACCATGCAAAGCGTCAAATCTTATATCATGTTAAATTTGTTATACATTGTGAAGTTCACAATACACAACCTTTTTTTCATTTTGTTTATTTATCATCACCATTCCCATACCATTCAACCTTTTAGTCATTCAACCTTTTAGTCGGGAAAAAAGGGAATTTTTCAGAAGAATATGCACCATCACCATAATGACCTATTGGCCCACCATGACCCACTCACCTTTAATGTTCTCACCACCAAGTCCATCAACACTCCATGCCTCCATACACAAGCATCACATTCCCAATTCACAACTTTGACATATTCACCATTATGACCCAAATCACCATTTCTCATCACAATATCACCACCTTGCATTCCTTAAGAAGGTCTATCACCACATTCCCCAAATCATCACCATTTTCCATCTCACCACCACGACCTCTGATCCATCCCGTATTGTTGTATTACCATGGTAAATCTTACTCTTTGTAGCTGCCAAAGCTTGAAAGAATGCGCGATTCCCGTAAATACCGACGTCTTTGGTGACCCTTGCCCCGGCACTAGTAAATTTCTTGAGGTCTACCTGCAATGCGTTCCAAAGCGTAAGTATGGTATGTCCTGCGACACGATGCATGGCGCGGAAAGCAGGAGAAAGCCTGGCTAGAGATCGTAGTGAGGACTATAGCAAGTAATCGTGTACAGTGTTACACTACAACTGTACTTGTAGTCTACATGTATTAATGCGATGACTGCATGAAAACAGGCTCTCAAACACGTATATGAGGCTGCAACACATGAATAAAAAAATACATACTTATACTTATTCAAACTAACGTCCAATTACTAATATTTTACCCTATTTTTCCACCTTTCCACATTCCTCTGTTAACCAGTGTGTTGCTCGTCACGTTCGTTGTGTGTTCTGTCATTCTCAACACTCAAAGTGATCATGTTTTTTCTAGAGGAATGTATAATTGAATGTATCATACATACATCATTGATAAGCACTGAATTGCATCACACATGTAAGAGTGTTCTCTTTTCAAGACTTCAATCACTTTATTTTCCTTAACTTTTTCCCAGTTTTGTCCCATTTACTGGTACAGTTCTGCAGATCCACAAGTACTACATGTACATTTGTACTTAAAAACAATTGGTGGAGAAAAACTCTAAACTTTTTATTCACCATCCGATCTCAAATCGCCCCTTTCCCTTTTGAGATTCAAAGAAAACAAAGTTGGTGTAAAAAAACCCCAAAATACCGGTAGTGTCCCTACTCCCTGTGTATCCTACCCAAGCTCCATTGCAAATAATAAAAAAAAATTCCTACGTACGTTAGATTGTAAAATTGACATTACTGCATATCCCTAAAGCAGTTCATATACATACATCATACATGTACATGTATGTATGTAATGTATTGCAAAAACCAATGGCCTATCCGTACCCCATTGCGCCAAAAAAAACAAAAACAAAAAAACCCCTAGTTCTCCATCCACCAACCAAGCAAATACCGGTAGTACCGATGAACATGTAGTTCCCATAATGCTTGTCTTCATCATTTGCATAAACCTCATCATAGTGTGTGTGTGACCTCATGACCTCATTTGCATGTTCTTGTGTTTCTAACCTCTTTCCCGCTTCAGTTGCGACAATAAAAACTACTGCTCCGTACGGGCCACAAACGGTGTCTTTGGCAACCCGTGTCCAGGGACCTTCAAATACTTGGAGGTTCAGTTTCAGTGCATCCAACCTCCCCGTAAGTATTTGAGACTCTTATCGGCGTGGTGATGGGCAAAACCAAAAAGAGGAGGCAAATTATGTAATCCTTACCCCTGTTTGGAGCTTTCCTGAGTCTGTAAACCCCACTTACCATGTACTTGACAGTAACCAATGTAATCCCAAGTTGGGATAACAAGCTTCATGTGAAGTGATTAGCAGTCTGGAATCCAATATACCGGTACATCTGCAACTGCTGGTGGGTCACACTTTAATCCTCTTGCTGCCAGCCTTTTTTTTTAATAGTGATTACTCTTTCTAACATAACCGGTATGAAAGCTTATTGGATTTTTGTAATTATCTCCCCCCCCCCAAAAAAAAAAAAAATTATTATTAATAAATATAGAAAAATCAGTGGAACTGGATATAATACGCATTCGGGAATGTTAAATGTGACTGACCAAACTATGTCAATTTAGTTCCTTTTTTTTTTTTAATGTCACGTGCGGATAGAATGGTAGAAAACATGTTCAGTGTTAAAGGGAATATACAACATTTGCAAACATCGAAAAATAAAACTACCAAGTTTTTGCGAAATACCTTAACAGGATGTTGGTAAATGACAGTCTAAAGCATCCTGTAAAATTATGGCACCTGGTATACTGTCATTTTCAAGAAAAGTGGTATTTTTGTATCAATTTCCAACGCTGATCGGCCGATCAGCGTTGGAAACAACTGGCTTTTTTTCAAATACTGGCCCCAATTGACCATTGCACTTGTTTGCAAGCGATTACAAACCTATAAACGGGTACGAGCCAGCTAGACTGGTTCCCTGACCTTACAATTCCCCCAAAGTATGTAAACTGCTCTGTTTCTTCTTATATGGAGTCAGGGAACCAGACTACAGGAAAATGATCGTTTTTCTTGGTTTTTATAGCATTTCGAACCCAAAACCTCCAAAAAGTTAGTGTAACTATATTTGCTTTATATTTCCAACCCCCCAATTCCATCCATTTCTGAAAATTACAGCAAAAGCAAATGATGTATATTCCCTTTAAGAAATCTGGAACTCTGTTTAGAAACGATTGGTCAAGAAACCAGAAACAGTCAATCAACATCGGTTTGGCCATACAAAAAGCAAATTATTTAGAACTGATTAACGTTCTATTATCAATGTTCCTTTAGTTTTACTGGCCTTTGAACAGATATACACATGCACATACATGTACCACTTTTAAAACAAGATTGGTAAAAAAAAGTTTATAGGTCTACTTATTGGGTAATATTTCAGTTATAACCTACATTTGTACATACATTATGTAAATATGTAGGACCCTAAGTATTTCTTAGCTAACTTTTACTAGCTAACTTTTACTACCTTGCAGTAAAAAAAACCCTGCTTTTTTGTGTTCTCCAAATTGCCTGATCATCTACTCTCTTCCGTAGCAAATTGAACGTTTCCTAAAGAATACATTGGAAAGCATGAAGATTAGATTCGCTTCTGCCCATATCGCACCGGTAGCTTGTTGAATTTGAAGTGTGTGTGATTTACCCTTAGAAATAATTGACTCTCTAACTGTAAGACATTAATGCTTCTGCATGCTTCAAACTCCCTGTAACCCTTAACAGATTGGATAATGCTTTCCTGTGAAAGTATATGTACAGTATGTAATTAATTATGAAACCGAAGTCTTTGAACAATTAGACAAGTTCAAGTATGGTTACTGTAAAAGTTACTTTTTTTTCAAAATTGAAAAAGAAGTGCAAAGTCATTACAAAATGAATGAATAACAATCCTATTTTTTGATTAATTGTTTTTTCTTTAGTTATTCTACAATTATGATTCTGGTTCTGGGCTGCAAAATGCCCTTGCAGAATTTTTTATTGGTTTTCAACTATGCTTCAAACATTTGTTTTTAACATCAGGAATTGTTTATATTTTATTATAAGTAGTCAATTTTTTTGAGCAGTTGAAAATCAAATTTGAGCCAAAATTTTCAAAACTAAGTCATCACAAACTTTGATTAGGGATTTTTTTTCTTCTCTGATTGTAATATTTGTATTTTAGGGTCTGTCTCTTTTGTGTATGTGTCTGTTCTCTTTCTGATAACTGGAGTCAAGCGGGAGATGTCGTGGGGTTATGCAGAGAGTTATGTCCCCCTTGACTGAAGTTCCAACTATGGACTCTTTGCATAAGTACCGTTTAATGCGCGTTAATATTTCACTTAAATTCCACATCACAAAACAGTGGCTGTGTAATTTGCTGAAGTTGACATGTGTTCAACTTTCGCAAATTTGCAACCTGAAAATTTGCCGTGATGTCACAAATTCGCCTTTGCGTTCGCTTTCGAGCTGAGTACAAACCGGCCTTGAGAAGGAATTGAACACATTGCTTCCGTATGCTGGCATTCCTGAGAAAACAATATGTGTTTGTGCATATTCAGATTATACCAACTCTTGTGTACGTTGTTCCATTCGCATTCAAACATTAGCGCACACCAGATGTGCCCCTCCCACAGAGCCCTCAAATGTGGACATAAAGCGCCCTCTTTTGGCTATGCACGGAGTCCATAGATTTCACTCACTCATGTTTCTTTCCCGTGGCTGTGATACTTACGTGTGCTGTTTCTCACAGGGGAACCACCCACAAGGATTACATATTTTCTTGTCACGCTAGCTCAGCGTCCTAATATTGGTAAATATTTCATACCGATGAAAACAAAAGTTCTCATTTGTTAATTACTTGATTGAAAGAAGGAGAACTTTAATGCTTGTCAGAAAAAAATTCACAAACTTGAAATTTTTGTCAGACTTTCATATGTTGCTGAATTTGCATGTGACAGAAAGCTACATTAGCATAAATTCCTGTATCCAATAAAAGTGTTAAAAAAATGCTACAAGATGCTGAACCATAAATGACCAAAGTGTAAAATTATCACTAAAATCTGCCATTTCAAACTACTTTTTAATAAAAACAATTTGATTGTTCCCACAGCAACCACAAGACCCCCAACTACAACACCAATGGTTGTCACGACGACCCCTCCCCTAATAACAGTGGCAGTCACTCCTCCTCCTCCTAGTACAACCCCCAGACCTAAGGCTCCAACTACCGTAGTTGCTACCGAAAAACGTGAGTTACATGTAGTCAGCTTCTTATAGACCTTTATCCAGTGCCCACAATTAGAAACTACGATACCGGGTTCGTTAGTGTGATGTCACTTCATTTTAAACCACGCCCACTGCCCATTAAGTAGCATTGGAACCATTGGAACCGGATATTAAAGGGAATGTACATCATTGGCTTTTGCTGTAATTTTCAGAAATGAACTATTTGAGGGGTTAGTATAATATATCAAATATTGTTACACTGACATTTTTGAAGTTTTGTGTTCGAAAAGGTTGGAAAAACCAAGAAAAACAAAAATGTTCAAGTAGTCTGGTTCCCTGACTCCACAAAAGATAAAATGGATCAATTTATAGATGATGGAAAATTGTAAGGCAAGGGAACCAGTCTAGCTGGCCTGCACCCGTTCATGAACATGTAACCAATAGCAAACAAAATTTGGACTGAAAAAATGGTAAATTTGGAGCAGTAGTTGAAAAATAGTTAGGTTTTTCCAACGCTGGTCGGCCGACCACCGTTGGAAATGTTTACAAAATACCATTTTCTTGAAAATGACTTCACACCAAGTGCCATAATTTTACAAGATGCTTGAGACTGTCATTTACCAACATCCTAGTTAGGTATTTTGTAAAAACTTGGTAGTTTTATTTTTCGATGTTTGCAAATGTTGTATATTCCCTTTAACGCAACTTGAGTGTTTATCCAATGGGCGCTAGTAATCAGTGGTGCGTGCGAGTGTACGACAAAGTCACTAACGAACCGGAATGTAAATTTGGCACCATGCTCTGGCATGTCACATTGATTCTTCAGTTTGAAGTGCCTGTTCATTGCTACCGGTACAGTGGAATCCGGCAACTAGAAGCTTTTGCTGCAGTGGTGCATGCTGCACGCGTTTTTAAAGACGAGGCGCACGCACATTGTGGTATTCCGATTGGGTTGTACATGTAGGAGCCCTGAGTGCATGTGTACTACCAGAGCGCGACTCAGGCAAGCCTTACGCAACCACAGAAAATAGCTGCCACAGCATTTGTCCATACGATGTATCTGAATGGTCGCGCATTTTCCTCACTGAGTGCACATACAGCTAGCGTGTTACCATGACACTTCCTAAATTATGGCTTATATACTGGTACAATTGTAAAATGGCAAATGTGTATTGGGCCATATTACAAGTTTGTGATTTTTTAATTGGTTGACAGCGGGTCATGTGACAAGTTTGTGAAATTTGATTGGTTGAAAGCAGGTCATGTGACAAGTTTGTGAAATTTCATTGGTTGAGAACCATTGAACTAAACCAGTGTTCTGCCCTTGAATTCTTTGTCTACCAGATTAAAAAAAATGTTTGGAAAATTAAGAAGAACTCGAAAGAATAGAGGTACCGAGTAGTGGTAAGTAGTCATTTCAAAGACAGAAAGTCACTTTTTTGAGTCTTGTTTCTACTTTTCAGCAGTGACATCACCACCTTCACCATCTCCATCCAACGACTTTGACTTCTGCCTTACAACCTACCGTCGAGATATCCAGTGGCCTCGGACCGCGTCAGGACAGCTCAGCGTCCAGCCCTGCCCTGAAGGAACAAGCAGTAGGCATCTTTCTTTTGTTTTTATTCATGCAAGATGAAAATTTACATCTAAATTCCATCTAAAGTAATATTTGCTTTGAGTTTGATCAGTTTTTCAACTGTTACTGCAATTGCTAAATCCTCCACCTTCACCTTGTTCCCCCCACCCCCACCCCACCCCTGAAATTGAGACTATTTTTCTTTTCTGACAAGAAACGAAAAGAAATCTCTCAAAGCTGAAATCCCCTCAAAAGTCATTGATTACAGATCTGTTTCATACAATCATAAAGCAAATCACTAATTTCTCATAGCTGTTCAAAATTTGTTTTCAACCCTGCCCCCCCCCCCCCCCCTCAAATTCAATTTCTTAAAATTTGAAGAATTCCAAAAACAGGACCCCCTTTCCCCCCAAATGTGGCTAGGACCATGCATAAAAGGGTAACCTTAACATAGGTAACCTTAGAATTGTCCCTGCACCCCCCCCCCCCTGCCTGTTACTCCTGTACTGCCCCAACCTCCCATCACTGTATGGTTTTAAGGATTCATTAGGGAAAAAATGACAATGTACGTAATTATTGTACATGTAGTATACATGTACGTGTAGGTGCTAATGACTTGAAAATTATAAAGAGAACTGGGCGTCCATAGCAAATCTGTCCAAGTATCCACCACCTTGCTGCAAAAAAAAAGTAGTTCCAAAGACTCGCACCTTGCCCTCAGGAAGTACAAGTAGTCTGGCTTTATCTGTACCTCTGTGCCTGGTTCCTGATCAATTAAACCCCATGCCAGGGACTTCACAGGTGCCCATGTGTGTCATACGCATGCATCCCATTCAACTTTGACAGAACACTAATTAAGTGTTCAACACACCAGATGCACGTAGCTGTCAAGGGCTATTACATCTTTTTTATTTATTTGGATTTTAAGCACCAAATGTCTCTTGGGAAGTGCATTAGAGTGCATACAGAGGTTAAGAGTATCTTGAGAAGCAATATTGCAGACAATAAATAATACTGCTAGAGAAGTACCAGAAGTGTTGAAATGCTATTTTGTTATAAATTGTTGGAAAATAGTCACCCGTCAAAAGAATAGTTGTGTTCCAAGGGATTAATTTAGATTGACTTTTTTTTTAAATATAAATAAACAAAAGAAAGCAACAAACAAAATGACTTTTTTTTTTCTGCTATACACAGCACAAACTGTTGTAGGGAATTTTGCGCATGAATTGTTTGTTTTTATTCTTAGAGAACTCTATTGGCTTTTAAAAGATCATGTGAGCTAGTGAAACGTACATGTGTACTTTCAAAACAGCTTTTGATAGAAAAGAAAAGAAGTTATTTTCCTTTCGGAGGCAGGTTCAATGTACATACAGTAAAACTGTAGTAAAACATTCCCACCCAAGCAATTTACATGTATTCATTGAATACATGTATACATTGCACCGGTAAGTTCGTGACCATTTTGTCCTCTGCCGACAACGGTTGTCTGAAAATCCCCTTAAAATCCAGAATCATCACATCATACCTACCAGTAACTTTACTACTCGGCCATTTGTTCAGACAGTCTGCTCATTCCTGGCTGAGGTTTTGGCAGGAAATCTCTTAATAGGTTTGGTTATTAGCCAGATTCGTCCCAGGTCAGTCACCTCAATGTAAATTGCTTCCCGTTTGAGATCATGATCCTGAATGTACATTGAACTGATGAGTGGTATGTACGGTGTCATGGCAGGGACATTACGTTTATGCATTATTTTTTTCAGGAGAATCTCAATAACATCAAGCCAAAGTAAAAATAAAATAAATTTGAAAAAAAAAAATACAATTAAAGTCCCCCCCCCCCCCAAAAAAATGCATTTCTAAAAAAATTATTCGTCACGTTGCTTAAGCAAACAACATTACTCTATGGATTTTGTGAATGCTATGTCTTGTCTGGGCCACCATATCTAAATGGATATGTTTGCTGGAGTTATTTCTCCTCATCACTTTTGAACCATCCTGCATTCAGTTTACAGTGAAATCTCGATAAGTCAAACTCTGATAACTCAAAACAACTGTTTAGTCAAACAAAGAATCCATTGCCCTCAATAGCGATAACCCTGCTTAACTCAAAACTCAGGAGAAGTCAAATTTTGAACCTGTTCCCTTGAGGTTTATCAAGATTTCACTGTATTTATGTAATGGTTAGGTCGGTTCTTTTGAGATAACATAGTTCTAGAACCAAAATCTCAACTCAGTCACTATGTTTTTCTTCAGGACCTTTGTAAGTGGCTGGATACTTTTTCCTTAAACTTAAATTAATTAATGCTCATACATGTAACTATGCATTTTTTCATTCCGAATCTGGAAAGCAAAAGCTGGCAAAGGAAAAACATACGTACATGTTCAATGTTAATATTGTCAGTTTCAGATACGTGCTTATTTTTGGAGGCCAGATGTGCAATCAATTAAAAAAAATTATAAAAAAATATTAACCCCAAACTGAGATAAATGTGACAATGTGAAAATAACAGGAAATAAGAGTAAGCATGAATTCTGTAAAACCACACCCAGAGGTTTTCCTTTAATTACCATCTCTAGAGATGGCTCCACTTTTTTTTATGAAGATTTATAACTTGGAACGAACTGGTGACAGCTCCTCGTAAAACGCAGAGATTATCTTTTTTACTTTCGGTTTTCACTTTTCATTCCGTTTGTGTTTATGTTCACAAAAGCACTGAGGTAGATGGTGATAATTTACAATACTGCTCTAAGTTGTAGGGCTCAAAATTTACAATACCATAAATATAATGTTCAAATTACACTATGTTGTCAGTGATAACATTCTTCAGAGTTTGGAAAAAATAAAACAGTTGTTTTAATTTCTTTTTGAAAGTAGTGGGAGGCTTTTTTGTTTTGTCCTCTCACGTGACCTTCTGAGTATAGATGTACAGGTTGAGTTAAAAAACAAAAACGAAACACAAATGTCAGGACCATTGTTTTAGTGAAGTTCTGCACGTAGCACTTTCAAAACCTAGGATATGAAAGCCAATCATAAGCTTTCTTTCAGTACAAGAATCATTTGAGTCACTCATGCACTTTTCAAGTTACGGAATTTTAAACACAGCCACCGTTTTTAAGTTATGTTCACGGATTACAAAAAGGAAAGTGTTCTTTCAGCAAAACGAAACAAATCACATGTGGATGTGTGTGAATCGTTTTCGTTTTGCTGAAAGAACACACACCTTTTTTGTGATCCGTGGACAGAACTTTAAAACGGTGGTTGTGTGTACAATTCCGTAACTTTAAAAGTACATGAGTGATTCGATTGATTTTTGTACTAAAAGAAAGCTTATGAATTGGGCTTTCATATTCTGGATTTTGAAAGTGTTACATGTAGAACTTCACTAAAACAATAGTCCCGACATTTTGGTTTCATTTTTTTTTTTACTCGCCCTGTATTGTACATGTAGGTGAGAATTTCGGTGGTCATCCCTAACAGCAAAACTTTGAAATATGCCAATTTAATGTGCCCTAATTTTGTTCAAGACTTGATGTCATCAAGTGGCCTTGCTCCAATATTTGTCTGTATTTAACTTATGGTACCTCAGCTGCATATTGACTCAGTGTAATCCATACAACATGTTGAATCATTCTTAAGGTTGGTGCAGCTCATGCTTGGCGTGCAAGCAAACAGGAACGCAAGTGCAAATTTGTCATGTCCGTGCAGCTTTTCGAGCTGCGAATTTGCAACACATGTAGTTGAATATATTTCAACTCCAGTGAATTTCACAACAAAAGTTTTGTGATGTCAAATTCGCTTTGCATTCCCATGAAGTATGTACATGAACTGGCCTTATGTTTAGCATTGACAGGGTATTTCTGTAAATGTCTGAAATTACCATTAATGCACTTGAAGTTGAATCAACCAGCTGTTACTAATATTTCTGAGCTCGATTTGGCTGGAATTTCATGATGCTTTGATAGATCAGGTGTAAAGAAAAACAACGATGTAATATCAGACAGTTTGCGTGTGAAATGACACTTGTAACTCAATATACAGTGTGTTGAAGCAATAACAACTTGTGATATGAAATTACAAAATGTACACTCATGTAGCTGGAGATGGAGGGTTGCCAGAAGGACCATGTAATAAATTATTGCCAAGTAGGTTTTCTGTGGAATGTGTTAAACAGGCTGACAGACCCACCTCATCTGAACATCTGGAAAAACATACATGCCATACTGGGACATTCAAAGAGCTTTTCAAACCCAGTGAATAACTTAATAAGTTTAACAAAACACCACTTAGTGGCATTTACTGACCCTCAATTTACCCTTGCCCCTCCCTCTCCCCAGACTCACTGCATTCCCTGCCTTGCCTATGACCTTTATGTGTTGGCAGTGACCTTGAGGGTTAAAGGTCAATTGCTTGGGATTTTTATCCCAATTACTGTGATGGAGGTACCACATGTGCCTGTCTGAGTTGCATTCTTTAGGGAGTCACAAATGCTATTTCAAGGTGATTCTTGGAAGATTTGTTGGTTATTTTCTCCTCTGATTCATTGCACACATGTATAGTGCAAATGTTGTGCATCTTGTCAAATTTTCTCCCTTTTCAATGAGACAAACCTCTCACATTTTAATCTTTTGCTACATTATCCTTTTAGAGACGATTTTCTCAACCAATGTCTTGAAATTGTCAATAACAAAATTGTCAGATGTTCTCTTAATTATTAGAAAGCTTCTTGTCTGTTCTTTTCATTGATGCTAACATCTGGTGACTTAGTCTATTTTGGTCTACATACGTTTTAGAATCTCTTCACTGGGATGTGGTCTAAATCAAGTGAATAAAAAAAAGGAAAGATTAAGAGGCCGAACCTGTGTTAACAGGAAGGGAGTGCCCATCTCTCTTTCGTTAGCGATTGGGCCAGACTCATATGCTGCTGTGGGGAGATTGCCACACCTCCTCCACAGCGAGTCTGTTACCTTCCCAGCATTGAATAATGCCGGTACCCATTTAACACCTGGGTTGAGAGGAGTAATTGAGGTAAAGCGCCTTACTCAAGGGCACAACACGCATGGCCATGGCGGGGCTCGAACCCACAACCTCACGATCATGGATCCTGTGCTCCACCGCTAGACCACACATGCCCACAATGTGAAGTAAATAGATAATGGGAAATTTCATGTACTGGTACATCATACATTGTAAATTTCCTATTCTCCAGAGTTAAACATTGCAAGGAAGTACATTTATAGGCAAAATTATACCCAGCTGGATGTAAAAAAAATCCAAAGAATCCAATCTGATTGTTACAACTGATTCAACCTCAGGGGTAACATCTGATTGCACTAAATTTGTATCCAAATGTATACTTTGTGTAAAAATGCCTTTACATGTACCGATACATTGTAAATTCCACATCTCCCTAGTGAAATGTGATCATTTATGACACATTTTTGATGTGTTTTCTTTTTTCTTTACACGATGTTTTCCCACAGGAGCTGGCAGAGCAAGGTGGCATTGTGTAGGTAGTCCAGCCATGTGGATTCCACAATCTGGACCTGATCTCAGCGGCTGTGAATCGGAGTGGGTCGACGAAATCAAAGATCAGGTCAGTCAATCTTTCCTTGAGCTTTACTTGATCTATCCTGGAGAGAAAAACTCAAATAATCCTAAAGAAAAATGGATTGATCTTTGAGAACATTCTTATTTATTCCTGAAGCAAATCTCCATCATTGCTTGAAAAAACCTGATATCCTTGACAAAAAGTCAGGGCATTCTTGAGAAAAACTCAGTAAATCCTTGAGAAAAAGTTGATTTATCATTGAGAAAGTCTTAGTTATCCATTAGATATACCGGTAAAAGTCAATCTATTTTTGCCAAGAAAATCAGTCAATCCATGACAAAAAGCAAGCAATCCATGAAAAAAACTTACATATCCTCCAGAAAACAGAATTTACTCTTGAAAAACACTTAAATCTATCCCTTAAGAAAATTTGTCTTCGACTTGCTTTTAATAGCAAAACTTTATGTATCATGGACAAAAACTCCATTAATCCTTGAGAACTCTCCATTCTCCATCGATATTAGTTTAAGTTAGAAAACCTTGACTTAACCTTGAGAGAAACTTATAGTCTATCCTTGATGAAACCTCAGTCTTTCCTTGAGAAAACCCTTAGTTCACCCTCCAGAAGAATTTTTTTTTTTTGGAGAAAAATTAGTCTATCCTTGCGAAAAGTCAATTGCTAAACATTTAATCTGTCTTTTCAGAAAAGCTTCATCCTCTTGCACAATTAAAGTTACCTTTGGAAAAAACTCAATCTTTCATTAAGAAAAAAAATTCAGTCAATAATTACTATGTCAATACAGGTGGGAGCATCTGCCAGCGAAATCTCGGAAGTCATCGCGAACGTCGTGGAGAGCAACGATGAGATCTACGGCGGAGATCTCCTAGTGGTCACTGACCTGATGAAGGATTCACTCAAGAGCTTGAAAGAGGAACTGAAAGCGTTGAACCAAACTCAGAAGTTTGAAGCCTCCAAGATAGTCACCAAGGTAGGTGTGCTGTTTACTCGGTATGCTAGCTCGATCATTGCACTTATAAAAAGTTGAAATTGAAAGGAGCATTTATAAATATGTTTGTTGACTTACGCTGTTGTGTAATTTTGTGACCACACTCGCCCATTCTTGTGGGAAACAATAGATGTTTTCATACCATTCGAGCACCTGTGGCCTGGTAGTCTGGATCATTGAACTCTTGGTCTGGCTGCGGGTAATTCTGCAGGTTGTGGGTTCGAGTCCAGCCTGGGGTTGTGGTGTGTGTGCCCTTGAGCAAGGCACTTTGTCACTCATTGCTTCTCCCCACCCAGGAGTAAATGGGTACCTGTGAGGGCAGAGATTGGTTTTAGCTGCTTTGCGCCAAAATAGAAGCATCAAACGCTGTATGCTCCCCATATACATGTACAGGGAGTTGATTATTGTCTTTGGAATGTTTCACTGGCCCAATGAGCAGGGAAATAATGATGTAGTGGCTTGAGCTAATTATTATTCTATACTCAATATGAATTGGGAGAATAAAATCTCCATATTCATCTTTATGTACTTGAACCCGTGAAAACATATTTTAGTGATTTCTTTACCTTCAGAACTATGTGAAGATCGGAAGCACTGTTCTTGGCGGATCCAAGCTGGAATCTTGGCAGGACCTCCCTGGGTTAGAGAAGACGATCACAGCCACCAATCTACTGTCCTCCATTGAGGAGAGTGGGTTCCTTCTAGCCGAGAACCTGGGTTCTCATGAAACAGTGACAAACGAGGAAGGCAATGTTGGTAAGCAATGTGTACCCTGAGGTCAAAGGTTGCAGTGGTGAGGCTGAGAGTCAGGGGTGTGATTTTTCTGGATTTTTCCGGATTTCCGGATTTTTAGTCTAACGTCTGCGGAATTTTATGCGGATTCTGGATTTCCAACGTTTTCTGTTTCCGTAATATCCCCCATTTGTTTTATTTACTGAAGCGACAAAATTTGCAAACATTACAGAAATTACAGTATATAAAATGTACATGCCCCTATATATGGACATACGTGCATGTATATGTAAACATGTACATCTACATAGTATACAAGTACATGTACATGTACAATAATACATGCACATGTACATGTATACATGTCAACCGAAGTTCGTGGATTTTTCATTTTTGTCCAATCACACCCCTGGAGAGTGTTGTGTTGGTGATGATAGTACAATGTAGTTCTGTGCTAAGAATTCAGGCCCTTATGACACCCTGACCCTGGCAAATGAAGAAGGAAGTGTTGCTAAGCAATGTGTACAGTGAGGTCAAAGGTTACATTGGTGTCGCTGAGAGTATTGTGTTTGGTGACTTTACTGTTGCTTTTCTAGGTATAAAAAAGGTCAAAGGTTATAGTGGTGAGAGTAGAGAGTGGGTCAGGTTGGTGTTTTATTATTTTTCTGGTTTGGTTTGGAGGAGAGCCCAATTAGGGTAAACTGACCTGCTCAAGGACACAACATGCAGCAGCCAGATGTAAACACCTGACTCTATTATCATGCAATACAGTAAACCCTTTACCGCTAGGCCCCATGCCCCAACACTGTTACCCCAACACTGTTACCCCAACATCATCAAATCCGATATCAAGAGACGTTTAATTTTGATGGACTTTCAGGAGTCGAAATCCATTGAAGGAATTCTGCACAACATGCTTGGTGCCTTATTTTGTAAGAAGAATCAGAAAAGTGCCGTGGGACTTTTGGGATACATGTACAGGAAGGTTCCTCCTAATAAATGTACAGTGAGATTAAGTTTAATGGGCTCATTTCTATCTGGACTTATTAAGTGCCCAGGAAGGCCTCATCTGTCCTCGTTAAGCTAATTGGCGACTTACCGGTAACGAGCGTGAAATGTGATAGTTGGGATCGCAGCCCCTCCATAAAAATACATTCGTGTTGACAGATCAGATGCAGGGGTAGTTAAGTGTTGCGTCTTTGGTAAGGAAGTATAAACATTTCATTTGTTGACTGAATACATGTAAGCTTGGCAAGAACACTGTTGCGGTTTGAGGTCATTACAAGTCCATCACAAGTCTGGTCACAATAAACTCAAATGTGATTGGGTTTTTCTTTCTGCTTGCAGTTTTGAATGTGGTTGCTCAAGACGTATCAAGCGATGACTTCAAGGAAGTATCGTTCCCTCACCCGTCCCAGCTGACATCCAGTGAGTGGCAAGACGTCACTGACTCTATCATCATCCCTAAGGCCAGCCTGCTGGACAGGAGCAATGATGGTGAGACGAGCACTCATTTTATTTTTACTTGCCTGGGACTTAAACTCTACAAACAAATTTTCTGAGCATGGAAAACTGACAAGCTGACATTGGCAGAACGATTGGACTAATGGAAGCACAGCAACCGACATTCATGGAAACAAGTTTAAATATTACAAGTTTTGGTTGATGTGCATTTTGGTATATTCCTAGTGAGTGAAATTCTACACAAAAACTCATTGGACAAAAATGACTCACTGTATTCAATTTTGTGCTGTCACTGGCACATAAGATATACAGAACGTAAGTTGTCGAAAATTACGGTGAAGTTGCTATTAAATGTCTAGTGTTTGACCCTAAATTGGACCGAGTTGCAGGGCTCAAAATGCTTTTGTCCTCATAACAACAATGGCACAACTCATATACACGTAGGCTTTCCTACGTATGAAGAAGGTATGCCAATTTTTTGTTTGTTCACATCAGACACAGAGTTGTTGAACATTTTTAAAGTGAACAAGTTCAAACTTGAAAACGGCTAATTTAGTAAAGATGTTTGCAAAAACAAGATTTTTTTATGACATGGAAGTTGCATCATGGAGATGTAAATGTTGTTTTTTGTTGTTTATTTTGCCGTTCACTGATGCATACAGTGTTGATATTATACGTCGGCGAAGGGCCAAAAAAACCCAAAAGAAACATATAAATCAAAGATTATTTGTTTATTTGTTCAGGCCAGTCCAAAGTGGTCTTCCTTGCCTATAACAACCTGGGTAGCCTTCTGGAGTCTAACAGCTTCGGCAACGAGAGCGAGAAAGACAACTACGTGGTCAACTCACGCATCATCTCCGCCTCCATCGGTGACCCACGCATCTCATCCAATCTTGCAGAGCCTGCTGTCATCGTCTTTGAACACAATAATGTTAATTTCTCCAGCCCCATGTGCTCCTTCTTGAAGTTTAAGAACAGGTAATTTTGGTTTTTGAAGAACATTTGGTGGTTGCACCAATTCTTTTTTTTTTTTTTTTTTTTTTTTTTTTTTTAGTAATGAAATTCATGAATGAAAGCAGATGAGTCCCATCCGAGCAAACTTATGATTTTGTTATCACAATGTCTTGGATAATGTCTTGGAGTATACAGGATTTTTAAAGGGGAAAATCCAATATTGACATCCATCCCAATTTCCAGATGTCTGTTTTCCATTGAGAGCTATGTGACAGCTGTTTTGGATTTACTTCCAAGTAAGGGGTGGAGAGTTCTTGCAGGCGTGAGGTTTTTCAGAATTTTGATTGAATTCAGACTTTTTGAATCTGAGAGAAAGACATTATCAGTATAGAAAGATCTTTCTGACCTTTCGTACAATTTCACATTTCTTTTTAAATTGACAATCTTATCCCTAATCTTGATTGATAAGGAGGGAATTGCAATATGAGGTCACTAAATTGGAATCACAAAATGTTTATGTCAAAGGTTTTCTGTGAAGAAGGGTCTGGTAAAGGCTATCTTTATGACTAGAAAAATTAACAAGAAAAATTCAGTTTACTTTCTGAGTATATTTTTGAGTTAAAACCATATCAGTTTCAAAGTCTTTTTAACCAATTGCAACTGCACTTAATATTTCTGTAATTCATATTATTTTCTTACGACCAACAGCACGGACAGCAATGACAACACTGTCAGTCTAACCGGAGACTGGTCGGACACCGGTTGCACCATGACGGGTACCAACGACACCCATACCGTGTGTTCCTGCACCCATCTGACTAACTTTGCCATCCTAATGAACACCAAGGGGACCCCGGTAAGTTTTCCCACTTCAATCCCATAACGATATGCTGAGTTTTTCGCACTGTTTTGAACTATTATACATATGTATGAAATGTCCGTTCAGCAACTTTGACTCGTCGTCTAATAAAACCCATTTACTGTGATTAGGGATTTTTCCCAAAAGGCACTTAAACCGACATAAAATGTCTGTGTGATTACTTTGGCTCCTTCATAAGGTGCTGTTGAGTGTGACTACTGGTAGGACGGTTTTCTCATACTGCTTTTACAACAACATAAAACAAAGACAATTTTATGAAATACCTTACTTGACTGTAAGTGAATGCAAGTCTCAAGTATCCTGTGAAATCATGGCACCTGGTGTGATGTCATTTTCAAGAAAAGCGGAATTTTTGTATCAGTTTCCAACGATGGTCGGGCAACCATCGTTGGAAGAAAATCTGACTTTTTTCAAATACTGCCCCAATTTACAAAATGTAGTTAGTCCGCATTTTGTTACCTGTTTTGTTATTTGCTATAAAATACTAACCCCAAATCCATCCATTTCTGAAAATTACAGCAAAAGCAAATGTTGTTTATTACCTTTAACCAACCTTGATAAGCATGCTCTATAAGACAAGAACTGAACACCTATTAGAGAACTCTTTTTCAAAGTGGACGTCACCTCCCAGAAGTCTCAAAGTCTGCACGTTTGACCTGCAAAATAGCCATACCTCGTTGCCATAGAAACGTTTCACTAATAATCCCCTATGACCTCTACTTTCCTGTGTTGTTTTCCTCTCTTCTCCAGATCTCCCAGAGCCATGGATTTGTTCTGTCCGTCATCACCTACATTGGTTTCATCCTCTCCTCCATCTGTCTGCTGCTGGCGTTCATAACATTCGCCTATTTCAAGTAAGTCACGAATGGAATTTTGTTCAATGCCTCTACTACATGTACATTGTATTACATTGTGTTTATTCTGTAAGGATCCTCTAAACCATACAGTGCTGGGCAGTACAGGATGAAAAAACAAAAACAAACGTAACCCAAATGTCAGGACCATTGTCTTAGTGAAGTTCTGCATGTAGCACTTTCAAAATCTGGGATATGAAAGCCAAGTCCATAAGCTTTCTTTTAGTACAAGAATCATTCAAATCACTCATGTACTTTTTAAGTTACGGAATTTTAAACACAATCACTGTTTTAAAGTTCTGTCCACGGATCACAAAAAAAGTAAGTGTTCTTTTAGCAAAACAAAAAATACATTACATACGGTAGGGATGTGTGTAAATTTTTTATTTTTTTTTTTGGCTGAAAAAAATTAAAACAACACCGTTTCATGTACATATATACTTCCCGTTAAAGCCCAGTTCATACTTCACGTGAAAGCAATACACAATTTGTGACGTCAACAATACGTTTGAAGCGCGTTCACCATTGTTGACGACATGAATTTCGTTTCGAACTTGCTTTCACCTGAATTATGAACCAGGCTTTAGTCCCACATCAAAGTTAAATTGAAGAAATACCTGCGACTGTCAGCCATTCATTACTGTTGGCAGGCAGTGACAAATAACTCATGTTGTTCCAATTGCACACACATGTGTTTTGCACATGTGCATACCTGGTTTGCATCGATTTCAACCCTGCTATTCCAAGAATGAGTCTAATACACCAGCCACATGGCTGTCCACACTGCAAGGGCCTGGGCTGGATTGCTATATCATATGCCGCCCCTGGGCCAAGGAAGCATGGCGGATGTAGGCATCAATTAGACCCTACTTACCCCCCTCCCAATCCTGAATAAGGTGACTGCGCCCTTCTCAAGTCCACTGCTTGGGTGCAGTACCAGGGTATGTGGGAGCTCTGGAGGTAGAGCAATGTTGTAAAAGCCAGGCATGCAAGTTTTCTTCTGAGTGATCAGCAATTTTTTTTTGGGGGGGGGACATTGCAGAGTCTTATAAGCTTGGAGTCTTATAAACTTGGAGTTTTCCTCTTTTTTGTGACTTCCCAGTTGCATAAAAATTGAAGAAAAAAAAAACACTGAAGAAAGTCTTTTTCAGCTTTTAGTTTACTTATTTTAGATGACTTCGTACTTGTATGCCTTAATTTTAAGTCCAGAATTGTTCAGGACACTTACCGGAGAATGAATTTTTTTTTTAATAAGACAAAAGTACAGTGGCGTGTACAGGATTGTTTCCGGCATAAAAAGACAACTGACTGAACAATTTATTTCCCAAACAAAGACCAACTACATTGTAAATGTGTTACAAATACTGAAGTAAACTTTATTTCTTTAAGCAGGAATGTGTGTCCCACATACATGTAAAGGCCTCTTAAAAACTAACAAACAAAACAAAAACAGCAGGTTTTCTTTCAAAGAATTGTCTATGGGTTTCACCTTTTAAACTGATGACGTACGGTACAATGAACTTAGTCAAATTACTTAATAAGAGTGATAGGCCTATTGGGATCTAAGAAAAGAGTTGTCTGTTAAAAAACTTTGGGAAAAAGGTTGTTGCCCTTTAAAAGTCTGTACCCATACTGGAAGAGAAACCTCAAATCCAAAGGAAATGCCACTGGGTGGTGAACCCAACGATCTTGAAATTTCTCCAACTTGTTCTTTGGGCTTAATAACGTTGCCGTAGCGGGCACATCCTGTTCATGTTTGCTTAACCTGTTTCTCTGCGGGGTTTCCATGGGTCACTGAGTCAGTAAAAGCTTACAGAAACTGCTGACTTTATACCTGGTAGTAGGTTGCTCTGGGTTACTTTTGTTTTTTTTTTACCATGGAAATTAGAACAAGGTACCACAGGTAGTGGTTGATAAAATGTTGCCGCACAGGCTTTTTTAGGTTGCCTAAATCTGTCAACGTACATGTATGTAGACCATGTGAGATGCAGGCATGCAACTTTTCCTCGGATCTGCTGATTTTCTCATCCGCTGATTCCCTCGTAATGAATGCCAATACAATGTACAGTACAAACTTGTGTGGTTTGGAATTTCCTCGTTTTTTTTCCTTCTAATTTCCCAGTTGCATGTGTGGAGATTGAATATGGGAATAGAATAAAGCTTGTAGTCAGGGATGAGTTAGACTTTAGTCAACAAAATGCCTGAAATGAAAAAAGAAAGGTTCGTCTGATGTTTTGCAAACTGGAGTGACCTGTTCCCTATAACTTTGTCATTTAAACAGTTCGCGCCAGGATTATTTTGTCATTGTCTGTATCCAGGCGCGAGATTGTTTTTCACAAAGCTCGATGCCAGACGGGTTCAGGCCGTCATCTGCTGGTAGCACACCTGATATTTCCAGCCTCGCTCGCAGCAAGCGGGTCGCAGACAGATACTTCCAGCCCCGGTGGTTGCATGTTTATCCCTCTTCCGTTCTGAATACCGCAAAACCTTTCATCCTACGTGAACTACTTAAAACATTTGGATCAAAACTTAGGTCATATTTGTTTAATACTAAGAATCTTAAATTTCAGTTAAGTTTTTGTCCCTTTTTTTCTGTTTTTGTTATGGACATTTTGTTTTTAAAAATTGTATCTAATATGTACCATCTTCGTTATTTTTCATTTTTTTCTCACAGAAATCTTCAGAATGATCGCAACACAATTCACAAGAATCTCTGCGTCTGTCTACTCATTGCTGAGATCATTTTCATGGCTGGAATCGACCAAGCATCACGTGGGGTAAGCAGATAACATTAGTTTCGATCTTTTATAAAACCTGACCTTTTGATTGAATTGCTGTATCTAGTAGGTTAGAGGCCCATTCACACTCAGTGCAAACACGAATTTGTGTCAAGTTTTTGTGCTGCGAATTAGCAAAAGATGAACACATTTCAACTCATTGAATTTTGCAACAAATGTTTTTTATGTCAAATTCAACAGCCCAAATACTACTTATTTATTGCCTGCCATCAATATTGCCCGTTATTCGTTTTGATTCTTGCTGTTATATCTTGTTCCAACTGGCCAGCTGACCCCGGCAAGCTCGGTTGTTGAGTAGTAAGACGTCTGCACCACTATAAATCAGGAGGTAGTGAGTTTGAGTTCAACTCAAGAAAATGTGTGAATATTATTAAATCTCACAAGCTTTTTGATAACACTGAGTGTACAGCGCTTGTAAAATTATATAGGTGGAGGGCAAGCCCAGTTCTTAAATTTGTTAAGCCTACTGGCAAATTATTTATTAACCCTATCCCCTTCGGTGTTTTATCAAGAAAGTATCCTGAATCTGCCAAAATCCATCAATTTTGCCATGCAAAAAAAATGTTGGTGGCCAGTAAGTCCATCAGAATCCACCAGTTAGCCGGGGGTAAATCTGTTGAGATCCTGAATCCATCAAAGTCCCCCAACTGCTCAATATAGAGGTATCCTGAATCCATCAAAATCCTGCAGTACCGCTAGGCTTCAAGTCCTGAATCCATCAAAATCCCCCAACTTGTTCAATATGGAGGTATCCTGATTCCGCTGAAATCCTCCAAAACAGGGGTGTGGATTTTGATGGATTCAGGCACGTTAGGGTTAAAAGTGAAGCATTACGAAAGTTTGGTTTATCACACATGTTCTTGCAGGCAATGTGTACAGTCGTGGCACTCCTTCTACACTATTTCTTCCTGGCCGCTTTTGCTTGGATGTGTCTGGAGGGAATACAACTCTACTTCATGCTGGTTGAGGTGTTTGAAGCTGAGAGTTCCAGACGCAAGTACTACTATCCGTTTGGATATGGTGAGTGATTGGGATGGGCTGGGTTGGGATGGGTGGGTTAGGTTGGGTTGGGCTGGGTTGGGTTGGGTTGGGTTGGGATTGGTTGGGTTGGGTTGGGATGGGTTGGGCTGGGTTGGGTTTGTTTCTGCATTCAATAGGGAACGTTGAACAATAGAGGACACTAGGGTCCCCTATTCCCGAAGGTCCCAAATTTGGCGATCGTGTACAAAACATATGGGAGGTCTTCCTAAAAAGTTAAAAGTACAAACAAAACAGGGACAATAGGGGTCCCCGATTGCAGGCAAAACCACACTTGTGTGGGCTGGGTTGGGTTGGGTTGGGCTGGGTTTGGTTGGGCTGGTTTGGGCTGGGCTGGCCTGGGTTGGGTTGGGCTGGGCTGGGCTGGGCTGGGCTGGGTTGGGTTGGGATGGTTTGGGCTGGGCTGGCCTGGGTTGGGTTGGGTTGGGCTGGGTTGGGTTGGGTTGGGTTGGGATGGTTTGGGCTGGGCTGGCCTGGGTTGGGTTGGGTTGGGCTGGGTTGGGTTGGGTTGGGTTGGGTTGGGATGGGTTGGGTTGGGTTGGGCTGGGCTGAATTGGGTTGGGTTGGGTTTGGCTGGTTGGGTTGAGTTTCATGTAGGTTGGGTTGGGTTGAGTTGGTCGGGCTTGGTTGGGTCGGGTTGGATTGTGTTTCGGCTTGGTTAGCGTTGGGTTTATCGAACAGTGGAAAGTAGCAGAAGCTACATTTCAGAATTTGGATGAAAAGAAAAACAAAAGTATATCAATGATAGTATGACAGCCCCCCACTGAAGTTTTTTGTAGTTGGAATGATAGCATTTCTTGACTGCTTTTCACAGCAGTAAATCTTCTGAAACATAAATCAGAACAAAAGCCTTGACAGAATGAACCAATAAATGATGAATGATATTGACATCATGATTGATTGCTTCATGCATATAACAACTCCCTTCCCCTCCTCTGAACCTCCTCCTTCATTCATTACTCTAACAGTAGAACTGCCCCCTCCTGCCCCTAGTCTCAAAGGATTGTTGCTTCATTTAGGCATAATGTTGACATCCTTTCTTTGACAGGTGTTCCATTGTTTGTGGTCGGTATAGCCGCAGCAATCGACATCGGCAGCTACGGAACTGACAAATAGTAAGTACCCCAGTTGCATTGAGAGTTTTCAAAATTATATTCGCCAATTGTGCCCTGGCCGTGAGATTTCGCGCAGTACGCAAATGTACCGGTGTAGTCTGAATGCAGGTCAATGATTTTAAATACTGACTCACTGGTAGTAGTGGGTATGCCTACATGTACAATGTACGTGAGGGTTATGGACTTGCGACCTATAAAACGGTGCTGGCACTGGATTTCATATATAAGTCAAAATTGACACCATGACACTGGAAAAAGTGTTTTAAGACCAGCCAGCCATGTTTTTATCAACTGTTTAAAACCGGCCATATGAGGCTCTCAACCAATAGGAATGGGTAAACTGTCTTATTAGGTACAGTCAAACACCTTTATTAACAAGGTCCTTGGGATTTTACAAATTACCTTATTATAACAGGTACCTGTACCGGTTGGGGGAGTCAGGTTGGTGTGGGGGAGTCAGGTTGGCGTAGCGGTACTTTCCTCGCCTTCCACCGCTGTGACCAGGGTTCGAATCCCGCCTGGGCCAATATGTGACCCGCTCTGCAAAAATGAGTCTGATGTCGCATAACTTGAATTCAAGCTTTTGCCACTTTTAAATGGAAACAGTAAACATTTGCTTAAAATGTGGACGTTTTGTTTTGGTTTTATTTTGGTTGTTTGATAGTTTTAGTTCAAATATCTTACGCAGAAATTTAAATATTGTAAGAAAAAAACTAACAAAATTTTGATTGTTGGTGCTTTTCTTGGTTAGTTACAGTGTATTTGTAATTTTTCAAACCTTTTTTTCTCCATTGAGACCTTTCTAGCTTTGCAAAACCTTGACAGAATTAAACAAGCACAACAATGCAACCAAATGTCCTAGAGAGGTCCGTAATATACCAAATGAAAGCTTATTTCATTCCCATTTTATTAATGTAGTAAACTCAAAATGTCAATTTTGCCACAACAGACTCATTTTTGCAGAGCGGGTCACATATGTGGATTGGGTTTTCAGTCCCTACCTGATTCCGTGGGTTTTCCTCAGAATACTCTTCTGGGCTTTTCCTCCCATCCCAAAACTGTATAATTTCTTCACATCGTCTTCTCTTTACTGGGACCCATGGAAGATCAGTGGATTCCACTGAATGGGCTACCCAGTTAAAATAAGAAATAAAATAAATTTAAAAAAACGGTACCTTGTATTATAAGTAATGGAAGACAAAGGAAAACAAAGACTTGGGACCTAACATTTTCCCTGTTATAAGCAGTATTTTGCATTAACAGTGCTCTTCTTATCAAGGTTCAACTGTATTTAAGAATAAGACTTCCAACAATGCTTGTACAATAATTTCAACTTCTCAGTTGACCTACATCTAGTATAACTTTCTAAGCTTTCTAGTACTCCCAGTTGCCCTCAAAATTCCGGAGAGGTTACGAGGTCAAACCCTATCTCTGCCAATTAGCCTTCGGGTTATTTCCTTTGAGTAATCACTTGACATAATTAACTGTGTTTAAGAATAACTCTATCAGTACAGATGTCTACATTGCCCTCTAGCCTTTTCCGTTTTTTCCCCCCTTGTTCTTAAAAAAAATATTCCAACAATCGTAACCTCTTAATTATTGGTGTTCCAAGATTAGAGACCCATTTCCCAACCCAGACGGAGCATTATTCCATTTTGACTCCTTGCGCAAAAACGTAAGGAAATTGGTGAATTTGACCAGTTTCCTTCATATGCAGTTTACAAATTCACTTGAATATCTTGAACTTGTTTCACTAAATTGTGTTGTTTCTGTTCCCTGGTCTGCTTACAGAGATAAGACTTGTAAGGCTCTGGAGTTGTTCTAATCCGCTATGGCATGTTCGGCCTTCGGAATAATTGTGTCCAGGGTTTGGATATTGAAGCCAGGGAAATTGGGTCTTACCTGAATGCATTACTGTACATTGGCCTTCTAGGTGCTAGGTTTATGCAGCAAAGCGTTACATGAAGCCTTGGAAAATAGAGAAGAACATTTGATATTTAGGTGTGAAGTTTGAGGGTAATACAACAATGTCTTTAAGTAAACTTGAATCCTCGATCCTGATTAGTCAATCCATGGCAACACACTGTGCTACATCATCCCGTATACCACGGTCCATACCGCACTCCAAGTATCGCGCTAATCCAAGATGCACGTGCCATTCCCGCTGCACGTACATGTATGTAATAGGTTAACAGCTGAAAAAGTTCTTGTACAACGTGCGTGTTCCATCTTTGCTGTGCATCAAGTTTGCTTGAAGATAAATTTGTTATCCCACCTGCACTTGTGGAACATGTTATATAGTCCATGTAGGTCTAAGAGTTTTCAGCTATAGAGAAATGTATGTACATCAAAATAATTTGGCAAAAAAGGTGAAAATGTGAATTGTTTAGTTACTTAGAATGTGTTTATTTTCCTCCAGTTGCTGGTTGGAAGTGGAGAATAACTTCATCTGGGCCTTTGTTGCTCCGGTTATCGTCATCATCGTGGTAAGTTAATTAGTTTAAATATGCTAAGTTAAAGTAAGGTACATGTACATTGTATCTTCAAACATGTAGTTGAATTCCTAGTAACGAGTATGAAATTTTGTTAGATTATTTGACATTACGGATGATATTATGAAGAAAAAAAAAGAGTTGCTTCTGACAAATCAGTTATTATGTAATTATATTTGTTTGGTATCAGTGAAGTTCACAGCACACATTTTTTTTGTTAAGATAAAAAAGCAAAAAACTTCATTGTGTGCTTTGAACTTCATTGTTTAGTTGGAAGAACTCAGCTACGTGTAACTCAGCTTGTCAATGCTTCTGCTCTGAGGAGGAAATAATATTATGTTATGAACATAATAATGGTACTCAAACTTGTTCCTTTAATGTACTGTGGTTAAATTGATTGGCTGTTTTCAGGTGAACACCATGTTCCTCTCCATGGCGATATTCATCATGTGTCGCCATAGCCCCATGCAGACCAATCAGAAAGAGAAGTCCAACAAAGAGAAAATCACGTGAGTAAACGCTCGAAAATCCTCCAGTTCAGCGTCATAACCAACATGCATCTTTCTTTTAGGAAAAATTGACCCTTTCTGCCTGTCAATCAAAATGTGTGCATTGACCAATTAGATCAGGACCTTTTGGTCAGGTGACCATAGTCAGACTTGGCCAAACTCGGTCACGTGCATAAGAAATGTACACAAACCAATGGTGGACTTGGGCTTATGACCAAATCCATAATGGTTCACTGATGGTCAAAAAATATTGGCGTTGGGAAAGCATGTAAATATTGGGTTGTGATAGGGTGGAGTTGAATATCATAGAATTTGTGGGTTTTAACAAAATAGCTGTTGAGTGATGATTTTGAAGTTATTGAACTTCTGAAAAGCCTTTTCCAACTTTCCTACTTTGTAGCAGACTTGATCTTTGTAGTAATTTAATGACGCAAGTTATGCGTCGACTGTCTGTATCTGGCTCATTTGGCAAATTTGGTTTGATGAGTTTGTCTGACGAGTTTAGAGTTCTGTAGACTGTCTCTCCGCATCATATTTCCTGTTGCAGTTACCGGTAGGTCTGTGTTGCGTCTCATCTCAGTCCCTCTGTCCCACAGGTGGACTTGGTTCAGGAGGCTTGAACCAGATAAAAACTTGAAAATGAAAAAGAAGCCAGAAAAGTTTTAACAAGAAACAAACGAAAGAGATAGCGGTGATGGATGTCCATCCAGGCATTGCCAGCCCTGACAGATTAAATCAGTCAATCCCTTTAAGCCCGGGGTATAAAACCAAACATGTCTGCATTACCTCAGGGGGACGTTGATGGGGATCTGTTAATCCTCTTTTTATCCCCAGTTTTGATCCCAGAGATTAGCTCTTTAATCTACCTCAGACCTGACTTCCTTCTTTCCTTCCTGACAAGTCAGGGATATACAACCACAAGTGGTTCACGCTGGGCCAGCACTTCGCTTGTGGTTATTATTTTCTTCCAAGCCCTGTGATCACTCAAAACTTCTCATGACAAAAATTTGAAACTAATTGGTTGAATGTTCATCTATTTCAGCATTAATGTTTGTTCAATCAGTAAAAATCCATGCCTAATAAAAAATTGTACATCACAAACATGTATGATTTTTACGACAGCAAAGTCTAACTGCCCAAAAATTTATCAGGCAATTTATCAGGGTCCAAAGTATGACATTTTTCCAGTGTCAGTGACCTTTCGATTGTCGTTATGAATGACTTGGACATTTTGTTTGTATAACATTCGTTGAGTGCCTGGTAGGTAATTTGCTATTCATAATCATTCTTGGAGGACAATTGCAAAAAGGAGTGCAGCAAAATTATATAATCATAGATGTCAGATGTAACAGGGACAGGAAAAAAAGTGGACCCCAAATTCATAGAATGACCCACATGTACATGAAGCTAATGTGGCCCCCATCATCAAGTGTAGTTTGAATCTCAGCCAGCCAGCGTGGTATACTTTGTACTTTGTGTCTCACCTTTGTACCTCTGTCTGGATGCATGTCATTTACTAACCTGACAGCTGTTTCCTCTCATTTCCTTCCAACTCTCTATTCCGACTCCCCAAGTCCCGTCCTCAACGAGCAAAACTTTGGAAGCAGCCAGCAGATTGTGTAAGGCTTACTGCCGTGTCTCGTAGGAGTTAAGAGTGCTGTGTGGTCGATAAATCACTTACCCAAGTGTCATTCAAGATATTTTCCATTAAAAAAACCTGTGCATTGTAAACCAAGGCTTTACTTTGAAATTCTAAAACTACATGTACATGTAGAATGTAGTTTGTGAATTTGCAAACTGAAGTAGCTCACTTAATTGGTTGAACTCAACAAAGTTATGTACTTTTGATTTACAGGCAAATCCTGATTTTTGATAAATTTATCCTTCAAACAAAGGGGGAAATGTCAGTCTTTTCACCCATTTTTAAATTCATCAGTAACTCAGAACTCACTTACCGGGGGAAAATAACGAAGAATCAATTTTTTTTGTACCAGAAAATTTCACTTTTATTTATTTATTTATTTATTGGTTTTTTTTTCTATTTTTATTTCTGAACTGGGTAGCCTATTCAGTGGAATCCACTGGTCTCCCGTGGGGCCCAGTAAAGAGAAGACAATGTGAAGAAATTACAGTTTTACAGATGAATATGCTAAGGAAACCCCACAGAATCAGGCAGGGACTACAAACCCGATCCACATATTGGCCCAGGCAGGAATCGAATCTTGGTCACAGCGGTGTAAGGCGAGGAAAGTACTGCTGTGCCAACCTGACTCCCCATTTATGCTTTTTGTGTTGGCTGAGGATTTTGAGAATCCATTTCAAAAGATTGAATGTAGGATGATCTATGGTTTATCGACCTCACAGTGATTCAGTGGTGGCACTTGTAATCACAACTGCACAATTGTTCTCACTATTAGATTTATTAGTTGTTATTGGTTTTATTTGTGAGTTCATTTACATGTGTACATGTATGTAATTGGGGGTGTCTTTGTACATGTACGTATTTGGAGACTGAATGGATACTAACATTATGACTTTTACACAACACATTAGCACATGTATGAAATCCTCAAGAACATGTACATGTATCAACGCTCCTTGTGTTGTTTTTGTTATTTTGGTTTTTGGGGTTACTTTGGGTGTTTTGTTTTCATTTCCTGTCCTATGACTCTCTTGTTATTCTAGATTCCTTGAATTGTTGCCATGCATGAGATGTGTGTTTTTGTTCCACAGCGATATTGGTACATGTGATAGGCACGTACGCTTGGGGGAAGGGGGGGGGGGGGGTTCCGGAGGTTTGAATGAAACCCCCCCCCCCCCCCCCTAGGGATACGCATGGGTATGGGGGGGGGGGTTCCGGAGGTTTGAATGAAACTCCCCCCCCCCCCCCCCCGGGATACGCATGGGTATTGGGGGGGGGGGGGGTTCCGGAGGTTTGAATGAAACTCTCCCCCCCCCCCCCCCCCCCCCCCAGGGATACGCATGGGTATTGGGGGGGGGGGGGTTCCGGAGGTTTGAATGAAACTCCCCCCCCCCCCTAGGGATACGCATGGGTATGGGGGGGGGGGGAGGGGTTTCCGGAGGTTTGAATGAAACTCCTCCCCCCCCCCCCCCCCCATAGGGATACGCATTGGTAGTATGGGGGGGGGGATTTGGAGGTTTGTGCAACTTTTCTCCGGATCCGCTGATTTCACCTTTTTTTCACTAACTCATGAATACCATTACACATTGAAAAATACCGGACATAATCTTGTGTGGTTTGGAGTTTCCTCGTTTTTTCCCTAAATTTCCACTTGCATTCCTGCTTTTATAGGCCGATACAAACACATACATTTACCATAGACTGGGGCACTAGGCGACCCTCAACCCCCTGCTGCCAATTATTTCATGGATTTTTCATTTTCCCCCAATCTGACCCCTGGATTCAATGTACATGTAGTAGTCGTAGCTGTAGCTGTTGGTTTATTGGTTAAAATCAACTGTTTCTCTTCCTGTTTAATAACTATCCTGTCACTCTAGTGGAGGAGACAACAATATGGGAGTTGCGGTGTAAGTACAGACGTCGATTAAAATATTGTGTCATGCACTCTGCTCCCCCCCCCCCTCCCCTATAATTGTATTGTAAGCTTGAAGTAAAGGATTTGATGTATTGAACAAGTGCTGGTTCAGGGAAACGAAAATCCTATCTGTGACTAAAATAAGCTCGTTTGTATACATAACTGTTATGTTTGAAACATTGATTTGTGTCCTGCTTTGAAGAATTCACATTTTGTTGTTTAATCCTACAAGGGATTAAAGAAAAACCATCTTTTCTGTTAATTGTGTTGCATGGTGTGCCCTAATATTACGATTAGTACAGAGTGCAGATCGCGTTTGGTCTATCAGCATGTGTGTGTGTGAATTCGGTGGTGGGTCTTCTTTCATCTGTTTGCTGAAATGATCTTGATTTCCACATTTACTTTGAAACCAAAATACTCTCATCAATGGTGACAAGTCTTTCTATTGGTTGAATGCTTGAACCCTAGAGGGCAGTGTGAATCCTCAAGAACAAGCTGAGTAGGTTGGCCCTCGGCCACCCCATTTTATTCTTCTTTAGATAAGGGAAGAAATAGGAACCAGTTTTGAAGTGAGAGTGCTTGCCTCACTCGGGTATCTGTGAATTGATGTCACGCTATAGTTACCAGTGATTGCACTTTTTGTTTTCTTTTTCACCACTGGAGGCCGGTACATCTACACAAAGCTTATTTCGTTCTCATCTCTTTATTTTATAAGCTAGGGGTACTTTTCTTCCTCCTCAGTCCAATTTTTTTTTCACCTTGCTATCATTTGGTTCTGTGAAATCTTCTGTATTTCAGTATTTTACATATTGCTACCTTTTTGTTTATAATGCTGTATGATTCAGGGGTTTGTACAATGACTGCTGAAATGTGACAACTTTGGTATTGTATTATGTGTGGCATGTTTTTTGGGGGGCAAACTGTAAAGTCGAAATGAGTGCCATACTCAAGCATGCCATGGACATGGACATGTACCTGTGTGTACGTCCGTACGTCATGTCCACAGTCCACACTAAACATTGCCTGAAAAGTGACGATATTTAACAAATGTTGCAACAGCAAGTTTGTAAATTTGCACTCAGCAATTTTGTAAATTTGCACTCAGCAATTTATGAAATTCCATTGGCACACCTCGTCAACAATCCCCTACCTACTTAACCTCTTCTCATTGTACCCGTCCTAAATACCCAACCCCTCTTCTTCAAAGCCAAGGATCGCTCACAGTGAACCCTCCCCCCCCCCCCAACTGAAGTTCCTAACTTTCCCTGCCGCCAACCCCTGTCAAATCACTCCCAATACAACCCCAATCCCAATCCCTTCCACTCTTATACCCACCCCAATGCCCCCTCACCCCTCACCCCTCACCCCTCACCCACCCTGTACCCATCCCTCTGAACTTGGGTCCTACCCACATTCCACATGCACCCACCTACAAGACATAAATCCAACAATAACTCTCTCCTTGAATTAATAAACTTTGACTACAAATTTGTAACACATTATGTTGATTTTTATCCTCCGTGTTTAGGTCCTGGGTTCGAGGTGCCTTGGTCCTCCTTTGTCTCCTGGGTATCACTTGGGCGTTTGGCCTCCTGTACGTCACCGAGTCTCTCCTGGTGTTTGCTTACATCTTCACCATCGCCAACGTCTTCCAAGGAGTCTTCATCTTCCTCTTCCACTGTTTCATGAATGAAAAGGTACGTAAGAAAATGCTGTCCAAGGGTCTGTTAATACTTCAAGCAAAAAAAAAGCGAAAACATTTCATCACGTCAACAATCATAGGTTCAGTACTGGGTTTTGCCTGTCACCAATGTAAATTCATAAACACAGTATCAGTGTTGTCCAAGGGACTGCAAGAATACAATTTCAAGCTTGCTAGTACAGACCCTCTTACCAGTTGAGCACAGAGTTTTGCCGGAGTCGGTTGTTCGGTTTGAGTCTTGTCTACAGGGAACAATCACAATTCGTTCAGGTTCATCCTGACATTTCTAAATCAAATTTTATTGTTTATAATGCCATGCTAATTCAGTTTGAATGCCACTACTTCATATTGAAACTATTAAACCTAAATTACATTGGCCTGAAGCGAAATGAGCATTTTCAATTGTGAAAAGACGACTGAAATAGATTTTCCTTTTTTTGTGGGGGCTAATCTATGACAGGTTGTGAAAGAGTATCGTCGCTTCATCCGTAACAGCATGTGGATGCCTGAGTGGGTTCGTGACCGGTATGGCGGCACATTCTTCACCGGTTCCAACCAGCAACGTTCCAGTTCCTCATCAGGGGTGAGTTGCGGATTGGTTGTTTCTATTTTAAAAGTAATATCCAAGTTTAATCACATGGAAAGAAAGTGTAGGTAGCGGTCAGTATGGGTGAACGTATAAACACTGCCTTATTGGGTACCGGAACAATAGGAGGTACCCCACAAGGAAAGCCCACCGACTTGCGTTTCGGTACTCCACAAGTTTTTCACGAAATAGATATATGGATTTGACTAAAAAACTAGGAATTTCGAAGGTGGGTTGACTTGTCGCAAATGGAAGAGTTTTAGAAAAGGGTTGTTAAGTCCGAATTTCAGCCCAGGAAATTACTTCTGGTTAAAAAAAGAGCATTTTGAAATTAGTGTGCGACATTGCAAAATGTTAGTACACGAGAACAAAGGAAGTACCCCACTTCTATGCCTGTGTAAGTGTGGGTGGGCTTGCGGTGGACACGGTGTTAAGTGAGCAGTTGGTGTTTCTTGAGAGGCTGACATCAAGGAAGGAGAGCCGGCCATCTTTATTGGACTCTTTGGAAAATAGAACTACTTAAAACTAAGTAACAGAAGTGTACCCCCTTAGGAAGATGCTATGGTTCAGTTAAGCAAAACGTTAAGCAACAAGCAAATTTTGTTTGTGTGTTTCAGAAAAAGCGAATCTGGAGTCAGGAGGAGAAACGTTTGAGCAATACGACCGGCTCCTGCAGCGTGGATCACCGCAAACTCTCCACCTCGTCCAACGGCAGAAATTCCGGTGAGTAAAACTTTGACCAAAATGACAATCTTGCTTCATTACATCTGTAACCTGGTGCCTTTGTTTCCCCTACTAGGTTTGTCAATATGAAATCTTTAGTCTTGTTATCTGCTTTTGGCCAGTACATGGACTTGGCCACGGTTTACATCCAACCTTGGTTGGCATGAGGGTAGCTAGGCTTGTCTGCTGCTCATCTGTCTATAAGCAACACCGCTATTTAAATGCCTGGCTCAGTGGGACTGACTCAGTTTCCTTTGTCAGAGTCCAACTCTTTTAAGTGCGGCAGGGGAGTGAACGCAGCAGAGAACTGGTTCGTAAATGGAAGAAACATTGTGAACAAGTGACAAATAGTTTAAGGGCCCGTCTCAATTCATATCCGGGACGAGTTCTGGACGAGTTGCGGGTAGAATCATTCAGTTTGTTCCGAAGAAGCTCTGCATTTGTCCCGGACATGTTCCGGGGAAGTTTTCATTAGCAACTGCTTGACTCACCAACACTGATAACTTCATAGCGGGAAAATTGCCGGGAAGTTGTTCAGAATCCTGAAGTTATACCTGATACAATGTCCGCAACTTGACTGGAACTCGTCCTGGATATGAATTGAGACTGGTCCTTAAATAATTTATCAGTTTTTAATGACCTCTGTGTACATCAAAAAAACAAAACAAATTGGAGGAATATCTCTAAACAAGTTCAGAATGAAATTTAGTGTTCAGACACCGCTGTGTTTTTTGTGCACAAAGTATAGAGTAGTTCTCAAAGTTTGTACATGTTTCGCCATTCCAAATTACATGTTTTAAAGTTAAGTATGAAATATTTTTCACAAAAATTGAAACATTCTTAGAATTTTCTGGGTTTACGGAGTCCACTAAGAGCGCTGACTATGGTGAACGAAAGAGGTGGCAGGATATTGCATTTTTTCCCCCTTTTGTTATTCTTTTTGACACGTTTCTGACACCCCTGGCTTTTCCTATTTGCCTTCCCTCATTTTGTGTGTGTTGTCCGCTAACAGGTTCCAATATTCGTCCCAGTGCAATGCAGTACGCTTCGTCAGTCTAGAGAGCAATAAAATCCGGCAGTAGCAACCAAGAACCAAGTAAAATGTGAAGTAAAACTCCCTGGAATTACTATTAACCCTTACCCTTGCATGGCCGTTTTGGACTTCCCCGTTACGCACCACAGAGCACCAGAGGTTTGGTAGGGTGCCTTGCCTGATCTGTGAAAACAGCCTAACTCAGCCACTGTAGGCCATGTGCACTGTAGCTGTAACACACCACGATCCATGAATTTGCCCAACTTTTGGTGTAATGTGGTGCCGATGAAGTCTGGTCTCAAACATGACTTGTGGCGAGAGTTTCAAGTGTTTCGATCACATGTCAAATCACAAGTCAGTCACATGTCGGTCACAATTCAACCACAAGTCCGGCCAACACTAACAATCAACGAACAATGAAAAAGGAATATTTTTGCCAGAACTTGTTTGAATAGCTTGTGACTTGAATTGTGACTCGGGTGGCGTTACGGTGTGCCAAGAGGGGTAAGGGTTAATATAAATCACTTTCTTCACACTCACTCCACAGCTGAAACATTTGTTCTGCGCCGAATTAAAACTGTGCCTTGTTAATGCATTGCATGAGAAATCCATATTTGTATAACCGCATTTCTCTTTGTCAGCTTGACCTCGATCAACATGAACGACCTTTTAACCTTTGAACTCTCTAAGATCTCCATAATTCCAGCAGGCTTTCCGTGTGTGACTTTTAATTGTTTCAAGTGTTTTTTAAGTCCAACATGCTGCATCAGCTGTCAAGGTTTATGGACTTCAATGAAGTGTTTTTCCCTGTTGCATGCTGTTTAACATTTCAGCCTAACTCATGTTTTTCTTCACAGTTTTTTCTGAAGTTCTAAAGTTTGTTTTTACATGTACCCATTTTCGTTCCTAAGGTTCCAGTTTTGCCACAGCCTGTTAGAGCTTTCTTACAGTTCTGAATCTGAATGAATTTTTAACTGAATTGAGATCTTTGAATGTGTTAAATGAGTCCAAATCTTCAAGTTGTTTGCATGGTAAACGTCCAGTATGTACTGACTGCATGAGGCATTTTCTGACACCGAGTTGGTAACCGAACGGCTGATCATGTTGCGGCACAGCATTCATAAATCCACTGTTCTAATGGTTAACTTTTGTGTATTTAAAAAGCAATAAGATTAGCTTAAAATGTTTTGGATAATCTGGAAAGTGGTTCAAGTTGTGGCGTTTGGCAATGTGTTTTTGACCCAAAAAAACCCAAACCAAAAGAAAAAATGAGGAGTACTGAATCATTTTTTTAGTAAAGTTCTAGCATTGCCTCACGTTTTTCCTGATTTCAGCATGAACATGAAGCCTCTATGTACCAAAAAAACAAGTTGTCTCATTGTCATAATCTTTGTTACACTGTAGTAAATGACAGTGATTAATGATTGTAATTGAGAATCTTTTTTTATTGTCTTTGTTTCCCCAGGCGAGTTTTTACCAGTACGATTCACAGCATCTGTCCCCGAGAAGAAAAACGGAAACCAGCGTCTGTCAGATGAAGGCATCGGTCTTGAGATGGAAGACGGTCATGTGGAGAATGGACAAATGGCTAAAGGCAGTCCCTCCCCACCCCCAAGACGAAACCGATGCAACCGGGATCCCCCAGCTAGCCCTACGGAAGTCCGGCCGCTGCTTAACTCGCCCACAGAGCCTCAGTCTCCGGATGGTCGGCCTCCACCACCGTCGTACCGAGAGTTGCCTCCACCATCCTACCATCGCCCAAAAAGCGGTAACTTCACCAGCCTCCCAGATTTGGCACACACAGGACCCCCGAACACCCTCACAAAACACCCAAAAGTCACCAAGAAAGGCAGCCTACCGGAGCTGCCGCACTCGCCCTTGTTTCTAAGGACGAGAATCGCTCGCATGAACAGCGATTCGCAGCGGGCCGGGCAATGGTCCCCACTTGACGAGCAGAATCCAATTGACGTGGACGTCGCGGATGATAATTCCGGCAAGATTGAGTTCCTTGGGATCACAAATCTGTCGCCCAGACTGGAGACTCTCATATGAACAATGGAGAGAACTCATATTAAATGACTCTAAAAGTAAACAGACATTTACTCCGTACTTGAAACATTAACCTGCTGGAATGGAAACCATGCAGAAACTATTCGCAATGTGTAGAGAAAAAGCCGACGTTATAACAACAGTAGTACATACAAAAGTACACTATGCTTCTTGTGTGTGCTTCCACTTCAGACAACTGTTGCTGCTTGATTTTAAGAAACTCAGTACAAGAACTGTTGAGGGCAGGTCAACTAATATCTTGAACCTGAATGCCCGGTCAAGCCCTGCCTTCATGTGACAATGCATGCGCGGCATTTGGCATCATTTGCCGGAGAAAAACTCAGCTCCACAATGGATTATGACAATAATGGCAATGAGCATACATGTACGGCCCTTACTTATGCATCAGAGAATTTCTGTCGACTAATATTGGGTTGGTTGGCATGTACCCATTATAGGAGTACACAATCATGGACTATGGCACAGGTGTACAGGGTTGCACGCATGGATCCAGCAGACATTTTGAGTGGCCTGTGCCTCACATGTTGACAAAGATGCCTTTCTGACTTCCATGCTCAGACAAATCATGCACATATGTATATATAGTACATGTAGCTCTGGCTGTACCGGTATCTAATCGCATATAACTGTACCCCACGGTTCACTACGCAGTATACAAAGATGTACCCCCGGTATAATGTACATACGTACTGTACATGCATGGTAAGACGCAGCGCGCTGGACAGCTAGCAGAACCTCATGGACAGGTTTCAAGAGCCCTGCGTCATTTTGCCTATTTATGTATGTGTGTCAATGGTTTTGAATGAAGTACTAATCTTGTAATTATTTGTTTGTTGGTCTTGTAGTTGGGGTGTTTGTGTCATATCAAGAAGTTGATTTTCCTTTGTTTATCTTGTCTTCTCGGCTTACTGGTCAATTGTATAAAAAAGAATTCCTAAAACTAGAAAAAAAGATTATTTCAAGAAATGTTCTTGTCTCACTCCCTCGAAACAATTTCTAGGGAGTCAGACAAGAGAAAACATTTCTTGAAACAAGAAATATTTTTCTTATATTAAGACTTGTAAGAAAATCATTTTTAGCGGGATCAGGGTTCGCCTTAACTTGTTTTTTTGCTAGTCAGCCAGACTCATGAATCAGACTCTTATCTGTAGTGCGCAGGCCTTTTTACTATTCCGCAAAATAATGTTTAAATTTTTACACCAGAATTTCATAAACAACAATGTTATTTACAATAATTTTGACTCTCAAGGATGACTACTTAGCAATGGTTTTGACTAGTCCACCGCTGCTTTTACCCGCATTTGGCCAGCAGATAACCGTTGAAGGTCCTACCCTGTATGATCCTTGCAGTTTATTTAATCCGTGACGAGGAGTTTGCGGTTTAACAGAGAATTTCCTTACAAGTTTTTTTCTGCACTTGGATTTCAGTTTTGCTTTAATCCTGACTTTTACATGCGATATTGTAAATTGCAAATTACACTTTTTGTTTGCTGTGATATTAATGCACGTAAAAAAATAATGGAATTCAATGCCATGAAAGAAAATGGCAACGGAGTAAAATCAAATCTTTAAAAAGACAAAAAAAATTGTAATTTTGCTACTTTCGTTGGCCACAAGAGCCTAGAAAATTGAAATAGATCATTCCTGGTCATAGAATGAAGTTGTAAATTGTGAAATTGTAAATGTGATTTGACTTGTTGAAAGAAAAAAAAAGTCTTGTAAATTTGTTAATAAGCTGGTCTTATTAAAAAAAAGAAATACCATGAATGCTTTTCGAGTGCTATAAGCACTTGAAGTTTAGCACTAGCGGAAAACTAGAAATGATTGTATATTGGTAGAAGATTTGTGTATTCCTTCCAAGGTATGAAATAAAGGACTGTAGATTTCACTAAAAATGGCAAAAAATAGATAAATTAAAGATAAAAGTAGTTTAGAGATAAGAATATGGTTCATGGTTGTATATTGGAGAAAAAAAATGTTTTTATCAGTTTGAAATGTTCAGATTAACTTTCCTTGACCGTTGATGAAAAAAATGAAGAAGTTTGTATTGATTTGTTTTGCAAGCCAGCTTTAGCTATTCCTGATGTTATTCCCTGCTGTAATATTAAATTGTGTTGTGTATATGGACATAGTACGCATGGTAACTGTTTGCATTTAGAACTACCAAATTTAGAGCATCAGCTGTTGGCAACAATTATTTTTGTTTTTCAAAAACCTTGTTTGCAATTAAGATAATAATAAAACAAAAAACAATACCTTTTTCGCTGATATTGAAAAAAAAAGCCAATAAAATAGTCCTCACTTTGCCAATGTACATGTAGAATCTAGCAGAGGTCTACCCTGGGAATGTCCATTGTATAATCAGACCTAGACGCAAAATCTCTAGATTCTTGCCTTAGTGATATTTTTTTTCCAATGTATAAAGGTGTACAGTGCAGGTGAAGTTATTACATGAATGTAAATTTAGTGTCTACTGACTAGTTCAATGCAGTTCATACTCAAAAGGTGCTTAGACATTTTAATGTTTTGGATATTTTGCTTTATGCTTGTTGTTTTCACTTTTGACCGTGTGTTGAAATGTTGAGTCCCTTATGATGTCTTCACTTTGTTTTGTTTTTTGTTTTGTTTTAGGAACAAAGCAACACTTAGACAGTCAAAATTGCTCTCTGAAGCTTCATGTAAATGTATTTTCACATCACAGTTACATGTAATTTAAACAATCTTGTAATATACATTAGTTACAATATAATAATTGATAATTCTTTGCTCTTTTTGAAACAATTATGTACACAACAGAATCAACTTGTTAATTTCATCTTATAAAACACAAAAGATTGTCGAATTTGCAGAGTAGTGTTTATGCAACAGGACTGGGCGCAAGCAAGATTTTTAGGATTAAACTGCTAAAAACAATGGTGTTAAAATAGGAAAAAATTTGAAGACATTTCTTGTGCTGTTCTTTGAGTGTTCTTGGGAGTTAACAAGAGTACATGTTTTTCCATTGAAAGACCACTGTTTTAAATTGCCAAAACTGTTTAATTAAGTAACAAGCCTTGATTTTGAAATAAATTTGATAATAACAATACATGTAGCAATGAGTTCCATATTTAAAGTAAGATTAAAGATGATATCAAGACATAAGTGGGCCAACACTTTTGACCCTTTTCTTCAAGAACTTTGTTTGACCTTTTTTGGGAAGGGGTTAGCCTTGCGCTTTTATCAAAATTTGGCAAATCTGACTTTTATAGAAATTTCAAATTGTAAGTGGTTAGCCTTGAGTTTTTTATTCAAATTTGGCAAACTTGACCTTTTGGGGGAATTAAAAGAATGTCAGGGGTTAGCCTAGGATTTTTTTCAACATTGGGCATAATTTGACTTTTTCTGAAAATAAAAAACGTAAGGGGTTAACCTTGCATTTTTATTCAAATTGGGCAAATTTGACCTTTTTGGGGAATTTCAAAAATATAAGGGGTTAACCTTGTGTTTTTATCAAAATTTGGTAAACTTTTTTTGGACATTTTAAAATGTAAGGGGTTAGCCTTGCATTTTTTTTTAAATTGGGGAAATTTGACAATTTTTGGGAAATTTTATTTTCAACAATTTGACTTTTTTAGTTATTTTGAATTTCAAAAATGAAAGGGGTTAGCCTTGCCTTTTTATCAAAATTTTGCAAATTTGACTTTTTTGGGAAATTTCAAAATGTTATGGGCTAGCCTTGCGTTTTATCAAAATCTGGCAAATTTGACTCTGACTTGTGGAAATGCGAAATGTAAGGGGTTAGCCTTGCTCTTTTATTCAAATTGGGCAAATTTGACAATTATGTGGAATTTCAAAAATGTAAGGGGTTAGCCTTGCGTTTTTATCAAAATTTTGCATTTTTTCCCTCTTTTTTTGAACTTTCAAATGTAAGGGGTTAGCCTTGCGTTTTTATCAAAATTTTGCAAATTTGACTTTTTTTAGAAATGTCAAAATGTAAGGGGTTAGCCTTGCATTTTTTTTTAAATTGGGCAAATTTGACAATTTTTGGGAAATTTTTTTTTCAACAATTTGACTTTTTCAGTTATTTTGAATTTCAAAAATGAAAGGGGTTAGCCTTGCCTTTTTATCAAAATTTTGCAAATTTGACTCCGACTTGTGGAAATGCGAAAATGTAAGGGGTTAGCCTTGCTCTTTTATTCAAATTGGGCAAATTTGACAATTATGTGGAATTTCAAAAATGTAAGGGGTTAGCCTTGCCTTTTTATCAAAATTTGGCAAATTTGACTTTTTTTTTTGGAAATTTACATTTTTATCAAAATTTGACCTATTTTGGAGATTTCAAAATGTAAGGGGATAGCCTTGCTCTTTTATTCAAATTGGGCAAATTTGACAATTATGTGGAATTTCAAAAATGTAAGGGGTTATCCTTGCGTTTTTATCAACAAAAAAAGGTCATATTTGCCAAATTTGGCTTTTTTTCTGGAAAAAAACTAAATGTAAAGGGTTAACCTTGCATTCTTATTCAAATTGGGCACATTTGACAATTTTTTGGAATTTCAAAAATGTAAGGGGTTAGCCTTGCGTTTTTATCAAAATTTGGCATTTTTTCCCTCTTTTTTGAACTTTCAAATGTAAGGGGTTAGCCTTGCGTTTTTATCAAAATTTGGCATTTTTTCCCTCTTTTTTGAACTTTCAAATGTAAGGGGTTAGCCTTGCGTTTTTATCAAAATTTGGCAAATTTGACTTTTTTTGGAAATTTCAAAATGTAAGGGGTTAGCCTTGCATTCTTATTCAAATTGGGCACATCTGACAATTTTTTGGAATTTCAAAAATGTAAGGGGCTAGCCTTGCGTTTTTATCAAAATTTGGCAAATTTTACCTTTTTTCAACATTGTGCAAAATTGACTTTTTCTGGAAATAAACAAAATGTAAGGGGTTTACCTTGCGTTTTTATTTAAATTGGGTACATTTGACTTTTTTGGGGAAATTAACAAATGTAAGGGGTTAACCTTGCATTTTTATTTAAATAAAAACAAAATAATTGTTGAAATATGATCACATACATGTAATTATTCCTTAAGGAGATTAGCAATCCACAATTTTTTTTATAAATGCAAGAATTTTAGTAAGTAATTGTATGCAAGCTATGATTGTGAGAAATAAATTGTCTTAAAGCTAAAGTATGTGAAATATAGCTTATCAATCTTGTTTTTGAGAGTGTTTATCTTCTAAATAGGTCTAATGAAATTAAAAGTCACTAAAATGTGTAAAACTATTGCTTTGGTGAGTAGTTCTAGTAAAATATTAATTATTTTAATTTGATAACACATCATTTATGCTTCCACCAAATTCTTAAATAACCTTTAACCAATTTCTGCCGAAAATACAAATGTCTACTTGTTGGCCATGCTTGTTTTGTTGAAATACTTAAGGGGCAAAAATGTACGAAGAACTAGAAGAATGATATCCAAACTCTTTATCTTTCTATGGAAAGTTGGCAGTGTACATGTACACGTATGTTTAGTCCGTGTATTTTTCCCTAGTCGTAATCAACTGGCGGGTACTGGTGGTCACTTTTCGTCTTGTTTTCGGCCACGATTGTGTTAATGGCATTGTTATGCAACCAAGAACGCCCGCTATGGCTACCGTCCGCTATGTTGGTTCCCTCGGCAACTGTGCTGCACGTTTCGGCCAGGCTGCTGGTGTCATACGCCATGTTGGTGGTGCCGTACTCCATGTTGGCGGTCTGACTGCTGTTGTCTTGGTCGTTGTCGTCCACCAGTTTCACGTCGATGGCAGGGTTTGCGTACTTGTCTTTTGTCGTTTCTGTTATATCGCCCTCGCTCAGCGTGTTCAAGGTAGTCATGGCAGAAGTGTCTGTTTCTGTGGTATGAGAGAGATCATGATTGGTAAGCTTCAATGAAAAACTACGTTTTGACTGACTGAAATAAAATGCCAGGTTAACCCCTTGAACTTACTGTGGTAGACTTCAGGGCGACAAGCCTGTTGACGTCTGATAGTTGCACCTTTCTGACTCTAGAGGAATACAAGAAGAAACTAGAATTGATAAATTCTGCATCAGGAAAACATTAAAGAGGGCACACATCAAAACGTATTGGTGAACATTTTTGGAAGGGCGGGCTTTTAACGGAAACCTAGCCTAGCGTCGAGAAAAAAACGAAGACGCATTTTCACAGTTTTCTAAAACTCAGCCTTCCACAGCTTAGTTTTTAATAACCTGCTTCATATTTATCGTACTGTTGACCCTTGAACCGGCAAAATCCATTTTTGTTGGCATAACTTTTAAGATTGCCCTGTCCTTCAACAACACAGCTGTGTGGTCGAGTGGTTAACACGTCGGCACAAGCAAACGGATAGTTGTGGGTTCGAGTCCCACCCAAGCAAACCACTGAACTTTTTCTCACAAGTTTTTTGACAGCACTGACAGAGTGAACGCATATAATGCATTTAATGCTGATAAAGTTATGTTAGTGAAATAAAACCCAGCATTCAAAAGACATGCTTTATTTTTAGAGAAAGTGAAATTGCCACTGATTTGGCAACAAATCAAATAAAAAGAAATTGAGATGACCTACCCAGCTTTGATTTGAAGCAGAGTTCCTCCCGTACCGGTCCCTGATGCAAGCTGGCAGCCATCTTTGACGATGCACAAACTTCCGCATCTCGGAATTCACTCGCTCGTTGCCGAGGCAGTAGAAGACGAAAATGAACAGACCCTGCAAAAAAAAGGTAACCATTTGAAGGTGAATTTCTGATGAAAATACTCCACGAGGCTACTGTGGTCTAAATGACTCAGTTTTTGACTGACAAGCCCAGTCTTGTTTTTTAAAGGCACATAGGATCATTTGCATTTATCCCAAAAGTAACCTACCAAATTATTATCAAAAAGCTTACTTGGATTCAATTTTAGATCGTACTGGTACTAAACACCTCGTGATATTATTCTGTCTGGCTTGCTGCCATTTTAATAGTAGAAATCATGAAATGTAGGTGATTTCCAACAATCAGTCAATTGACAGATCTTTGGAAATAGAGAGTGCTATGGATGCAATCATGTTTCACGGTCGAAAAGGTTGTGCATGATGTTTCACTGTTTTCTCAAAAAGTGTAGTATCCACTGAAACTTTCTTCTTCTTTGGATTGTGAGTGGTGTTATTCTGGGAAACGAGGTGTTTTTACCTGTAAGGAATTGAGTATGGTGAAGATGTAAGCTACGACCAGCGACTGTTGATTAATGAAGAAGAATCCGATGCCCCATGTGATGCCGAGAAGGAATAGAAGCGTCATGGCCCCCTTGATCCAGGGCCTAAGGCAGAAGACAAAATAATCATTTAACACAATGCATGTACACGCTTGACATCACCTGGCTTCAATCGACTGAGAATGAATTCCGGATGCTGACTTCGTGCACAATTCAAAATCTGATTCAGCCACTTTTCAATGAATATCGAGGTCCTAGAATACTGTTCTCGGAATATACAACACTCACAGAGCTAAAACATGATCAGGTTAGTTGTTAGGCACCCATCTTTAGATTTTGAGCACTTTTTCTGCTTCAAACGAAACAAATGTCTAAATGCCAACGATCTACTCTACCTTTAAAGCGAGAAATTTAAGGAATTTATTACCAACCTGATGTCGTTCTGAGCGATTCCTTTATTGATAGATGATCGAGAGGAGTAGGCGATGCGAAGTGATACAATCAGTAGCACAACGTTCACCTGTACGAGGAATAATGCATGTCAGATATATAATTCAAGACATTTTTAAAAAGCAATACTAGGCTAGAATAGAAAGATATTGGTTGTTCTCTGACTGTTGTTTATATCAATATCAAGAGTCAAAACATTAATTTCTAACTGTTTTGTAACAAATCATTTCAATTTGGAAAACTATTTTTGCTTTGGTTCAGGCAGGTTCAGGCAATGGAAAACAAATGAACATCTTAATTTACCAAAAAATAGAAAACCATATTTTTGGATGCTCCAGGTCCTTGATACCAGATTTGTACAGAAAAATAACTTTAAAATCCGAACAGTTCAGCCTATGCCCTGAAAAGTCCTACCGGCAAAATTACCATCCCAAAACTCAAAATTACTTCACAATCCTTTTTTGTTAATCTGTATTGTGGAAACTGATGACATGTTGTGCACTGAATACTTGTGTGAATGTGAAGCACACCTACAATTCTTGCAGGGGCCAGAGAAGATTTACCATTGTATTTGTTTAAATCTGGATTTTGTGAATTCACATTAACTTACTGCAATGATCGCAGCCACTGGGCCTGTAAAACTCCAGATGAAGTAGTTATCCGTCGACAACCAGCAACTAAAGAAAATAATACATGAATGAATGACACATGAGTTATGAGAAACTTAATGGGCTATGTGTAAGAACAATAACTTCAGTTCATCCTACTTGGACACATTGGTTTGGTAGAAGGGCAAGCCTTGTCCTCTGACTGATTGAACATTGACTGACTGACTGAGGCCCGTTCTAGACGCGGTGCTACTGCTGCACCAAACTTATTGAAATCAGAGTGGCAATAGCTCGTCTACAGCACTGTATATCGTTGCTCTAAATGCTGAATGTAATAGTTGATCCTTAACACATTTGGATTAATGGGCCGGGGGGAGGGGGGGGGGGGGGTGGCTGATGGGCTGGTACCATCTTCCGAAATAGGGGGTGCTCTTCAAAAACGGCAGTTATGCAAAGAAATAAGCATTATGTGCCCATTTTCAGGGCGCATTGTAAGGGTTCGCTACAACTTCAAGTTAAATTAAGTTCAGCACGGCAATAGCACGGCAATGGTACAACGTTTGGAACAGTGCCGTGCCCCTGCCATTTGGAACCTGTCGAGCCAATGGATGGTGCAGTGCCGAGCTCACATCGCCGAGCCAAATGGTTCTAAACTCCATGCTATAGCCATGCCAAACTTTAAAAAAAGGTCAAATTAATTGACTTTGGCACTGTAGTAGCACGACCTTACTGACTATTTTAAATAAGTAAATCCCACTGACTTACTATCTGTCTGTCCCATAGCCAGTGTAGTTGACGCCTGCAGAAACACCGACAACAATTGCTGGAATACCTAACAACATAAAAAATACTTCAGCTTACATGTAGGTTTACATAAAACCGGCTTCTGACTAGCACCCCTTAAACAAAGACATTGACAAAATGGGGAATCCACACAGGGCTGGATAGCTCAGTTGGTAGAGCACCGGAACGGCAATCTGGAGCTTGCAGGTTCAAACCCTGCTCCAGTCAATTTCTTTGTTCAACTTTTAAATGATTATAATAGTCAGTGTATTTGAAGAAAAAAAATAATGTTAGAAAATGACACTTTCCAGCTATTCCACACACTTCAAACAGTTGGCTTATTGATGCAGAGTTACACTTGGGTTGTCGGAAAAAGAAGCACTCTATTGTAAAAAAAAATACATAAAAAGCGAAATCAGCGATAGAACATCCTTTCAAACCTTCAGGCCAACTTACCATATCCAGCTAAGTAGTACGGCCAGTGTCTGGAGTGAGTAGAGAACACATGGACTAGCATAATGTAGAACTGAACGGCTTCTAACGACATCCACACAAAGGCCGACAGGAAGGAGTAATGCAACAGGCCAGCAATAACTGAACACAGTATCTAAAGAAAAGGAAAAACACCTTTCGTTGATAACCTCATTTACAGCTGTTATTTGTGATTTTACCTAAATTATTCAGATTGCAAGAATACAAATAAAATTGGATTCACTGCAAGAAGAAAAGACAAAGCTTACTCAAATTCGATATCGGGTTTGCCTTTCACCAACGTATTTTATAAACACTGTATACTCAGTGTTGCCCCCAATTGATTATGAGAAAAAAAATACTCGGGTGAGACTCGAACCCACGACCTCCTGCTTACTAGCGCAGATGTCGTACCAATCGACCACCGAGCTTGCTGGGGTCGAGTCCCACCAGAGTTATTTTTTCTCACACTCACTTGGGGGAAACACTGAGTATACAATCTTTATAAAAATATGTCGGTGAAGGGCAAAAAACTCAATATTGAATTTACATCACCCCAACGCAAATTCCATCTTATGAATACTTGCTCAAATTGTTATTTTTAATCGAACTGTTTCCAGTTTGAATTGGTGTTGTTGTCTTGTTTTGTTTTGTTGGACACCTCCACCACAAGCTTCAGCTTCCATGAATGAAGTTAAGCTTTCCATTACCTTTATTTGTGTTTGTTCCACACCGGCTATGAACAGCGCATTGGCAAGTAGTAGCATGAGGCACAGATTGCGATGGATTGTCACTCGTAAACTCCAAATGTTTCTGGAAGTTAAAAAAGTACAAAAACAATTCATATCACTGAAAGTGCTCACAACATTGGATTACATATTTTGGTTTCATATAAAAACACCACGCTTCCAAAATTTAACATTTTTTAAAAATATGATTTACTGCTATGGAAACGAGATTTCTTGTTATCTTTAATTTGAATGATCTGTAAGGAAACTTAATTCAAAATTTCACCACATTTCTGAAATGTGATTTGGACATCTACAGTTATCTTCTCAAATTATTTTCACTGTTTACTCGTGAGAAAAGTTCTTGAGAAACTTACTTGGTTGCATATGAAACAAACCCTAAAGTTCCTTAATAGTGCACATGCCTTTAGTAGCACGAAGTTGTGAGCTGAATTTTCACCTTTTTATTCTCGCAACATTTTCTCACTACAGTCAACCTCATGAAATAAAATGGTATAATATCTTGAAATCCCCTGATGTAAGAATTCAACAAAATAGAAGAAACTTACTTACCTGAAAAATGTGAATGCGAAGATAGATATGAACAGACAGACGATCGAAATGGAGCAGCCAACAAACGTTAAAACTGTCAGTACTTTCTCGTGGATCACTGGAATCTAATACAAAGAAAGAAAGGCAAATATTTCTGATAATTAATGATGACACCAAGATATTTTATCTTGACTTTTACGTTGACTAACGTAAGGGCCCATCTCAATTCATATCTGGGACGAGTTCCGGACAAGTTGCGGGTAGAATCATTCACTTTGTCAGGACCTGTTCCGGGAGATTTTCATTAGCAACTGTTTGACTCACCAATACTGATAACTTCATTGCGGGAAGATTGCGGGGAAGTTGTTCAGAATCCTGCAAATTATACCGATACAATGTCCGGAACTTGTCCGGAACTCATCTTGGATATGAAGTGAGACGGGCCCTAACATCATCTTATTGCCGTATATTCCATTAATTTTAAATGATCATCACTATACTGTAATTGTGATGTTTGGAAAAAAATAATAATAAAATCAACGTTGTAAAGAACTAGTCTGCTCAGTGCTTCCAGAACTTAACAAAAAAAGTCATAAGCTTTAATACTCAGTTGGGATATGAACCCCAAATCTCCTGGTTACTTGTACAGAAGTCTGAGTTAACACTCAACCAAAAAACATCTACCACTATCAGCCGGCTAGTTCAAATGAATGTTCATGAGGAGAAAAAAACCCATCTTCAAAAATTAAATTAAAATTTGCATCACGTTAATGCATATCTTTAAATCACACACACAAAAACAAACAATCTAAACCCCCCCCCCTTTTTTTAAGTCGTGTTTAATACATACCTTGGTGTGGGTACCAGTGACGTCCATGAGAATAGCAAAGTTTGTGAGATGATTGCATGCACAGGCACTGTGGGTCTGGTTACTGGAAACCAGTCGACAGCCTTTGTCCGACCAGGCACCGTTTCCCCCCAAACTGTGAAAAAAGATCAAAGATTTCAACTTGATTCAAACTATCAGGGCGACATATCGTCAAAACCCACTACAAAAAAAGACCTGCTGATGCCTAAATTTAGCCCATTACTTTGACCACTATAATTTCTTCTCATTGTCTTCTCTCTACAGGTTTCTTCAGGCTTGCGAGCTACAGTGCCTGGGGCACTTTTGAGAAATCCTTGGTTTCATTACCAGAAATAAATAAATGATAATTCACTTTCACAGGATACACAATTTTAACAGCAATATTGTAGCAGTGAACTGCGTAAAAAAAAGTTTAAAAAAAACCACCCAAAACCTGTCAAATCCCAGGGATCAATTCTCGCATAAAACCAAAGATTTTCTCTGGATTTATGCACCTGACTCAGCCTGACCCTAAACCCAATCAAACGCAAAACCTCGAACCAACCATCCCATCAATTGTACCCAGTTTCTTCTAATACAGATACAAATCAGCTCAATGTAGTATCACAGGCATGAATGCATTACAAGTTTCACCATCCTGACCTAAGGTGGCAAGCATTTAAAAATAGCCTTTGCTGAGTATTGAAGATCTACCTTTTGGAGGAATTCCAGAAGACACAGCTCACGTTTCCAGTTATGTTGGACTAAAATAAAGCAAAATTAAACCAGGACAATTTTGTAAACCCTGATTTTCACAAAAATAAAAAATGTCACATCTGAATCCCAAATTATTAAATTGATTGAAAAAGCTGTTAATCAACGAGATCTTCTTTATCCTTAACCTCCCCCCCCCCCCCCCCCGGTATTTTGGCTAGAAACCCTGCTGAACACAGCAACATGCGACACTTGTCAAAATATCAAAATGACAAGCCTGAACGGTGCAGCAAGATCCATCAGGTCAAAAGTCTCAAGGCCAAACTGCCTCAGAGTCTGTGGTCACCGAATGCAGCAGGATACAACTGTGGCATTGTTCTATGGGACTAGCTCTCATTGTCTCAGAAGTGGCCGTTTATGCACTGGTGTTGATGGCTCAATGCAGCAAGGTCCCACAGACATTTACACCTGATGCACTGTGCTGCATCTGGCAGGGTTAGGGTTAACAAAAAGGAAGAATAAAGCACTGTTTGGTAATTCAAACGATCAGGCCCCGACACCTACCAGGGTATGTTTGATAGTCAGCAGTACTTCCTCATCATTCTCAAATGTCTCGACGTCTTTCTCTTGTTTTCTAGCGGAGGCAGACATGACAGCAGAATTTAGCTGCAGACCAAGCGACTCATCCGTCTCATTGCTAAAGTCATAGTCAGTGTCATTCACAGACCTGTCATCAAGTTAAGAATACACTTAATTACAACTACACAAGGTAGACTTTACACGAAGCAGAAAACAAGCATTTTGATTATTTGCACATGTTATGGGATACATTGTATGGCATTGTGTTTTGATGAATCTATTAAAGGGAATATTCAACATTTGCAAACATCGAAAAACAAAACTAACACATTTTTACGAAATACCTTACTAGGATGGTGATAAATGCCAGTCTAAAGCATCCTGTAAAATTTTGGCACCTGGTGTGAAGTTATTTTCAAGAAAAGTGGTATTTTGTATAAATTTCTAACAGTGGTCGGTCGACCACCGTTGGAAAAACCTAACTATTATTCAAGTACTGCTCCAAATTTACCATTTTTTTCAGTCCAAATTTAGTTTGCTATTGGCTACATGTTCATGAATGGGTGCAGGCCAGCTAGACTGGTTCCCTTAATTTACAATTTTCCAGCATCTATAAATTGATCCATTTCATCATTAGTGGAGTCAGGGAACCAGACTACTTGAACATTTTTGTTTTTCTTGGTTTTTCCAGCATTTTTGAACACAAAACTTCAAACATGTCAGTGTAACAATATTTAATCTATTATACATGTACTAACCCCTCAAATAGTTCATTTCCGAAAATTACAGCAAAAGCCAATCATACATTCCCTTAATAAACCATAGATTTAGAGATATTCTGACTGTACCTGCTTATCGCTTCCATGCCATCGATTGCGGTGTCGGTCAGGTACTCCCCTAGAGTTTTGTAGACGAGGAAGACTACCTGAGCAGAACCTGAAATGTAAATCCAGAATGAACGATACTTCTTTGTCTCATCTCGAGAATTTGCCTTTTCTTTGTCTCATACCGAGAATTTGCCTTGGAAAAGAAACTTCTCACGGTGTGACAAAAACTAAAAATTTGAATATTTTGGGGGATTTTCCTCCGCCCTCCAATACTGCAAACTTCTCAAGTATCGTTTCTCTAACTGTTTCTCAGGCTTTTTCCAGGCATGCAACTGGGAATTTTGAAGGAAAAAAAATCCAAATCACACAAGACTGTGTGCAGCGTTTTTCAAGTTGTAATGGCATTCACAAGAAGTTAAAAACGAGGAAATCAGCGGATCCGAGAGAAAAATTGCCTTCAAGTTTTCGTCAGCCATTACAACACTCATTTACTCTCAACTCTCAGTAACCTTAGTTTCATAACCAGAAAAGAACTGCAGTTCATAGTACCCATGTTGCCTGTGGTCTGTGTAGCAGACGGTGGTAGGGTGATGGTATTCAGCGTATCAGTGGTTCCATCCTCTGTCGTCCGCGTGTCTTGGAAGAAGACAGCTTTGCCTGCGTTCTCACTGGCTATTGCCTCCACAGTCATCACTGATGGACAAGTGAACATTGAGAGATAAGAGGTTAAGAAGTCTTGTTCAATACAAAAAAACTAATCGACACAATGAGAATAATAATGTAATAATGGATACTCATACAGGCCTGGTTGATAAAAAAAACCGAAACCGAGATATTATTGCTAATGTGAACAGAAGTAGGGCACATGTGAATCAAAGGGAGATATCCTCTGTTAGGGTTGAATCTCCTCTTTAAAATGACACCCTGATCATGTCATTACATTCACGGTTGACTGAGCAGTGACCAATTTTTGAAAGGGTCTATTTAGAGAATTACGCCACTTGACTTCAATTGAGTTTTATGTGGTGTCATTTGTCACAGAGTGAAAGGCTATGGTTGCCAATCAAGGCAGGTGGGGAAAAAAAAGAGGTTTCACCATGAAAGTGGCGCAAGTCTCTAAATAGACCCTTTCATAAAATTGGTCACTGCTCAGTCAACCGTGAATATAATGACATAATCCAGGTGTCATTTTAAACAGGAGATTCAAACCTAACAGAGGATATCTCCCTTTGATTCACATGTGCCCTTCTTCTGCTCCAATTAACAATAATATCTCGGTTTCGTTTTTTTTTATCCACCCTGTATAGCACTTTTAACTAGGATCAAAGTGCTTTACAATATTATTACCCCTGATCATCGGGCCAATGAAACATTCCAAAGACATTCTCAGCTCCCTGGGAGTACACAGCTCGATGCTGCAATATCGGCACAAAGCACCTAAAATCAATCACACTAACCATCTCTGCCCTCACACGTACCCTTTTGACTACTCCCAGGTTAGGGCCTCAACATTGGTCGTGGATAAAATTTTAACAAAGCTCATAGAAGAGAGAGAAAATCCTCACCGATATTTTCAGAGTGAATAACAACATTAGTCTTGTCTCTGCTGAGATACTGAGCCACCAGGAAGCCGGTGTTCTCCAGATTCTCTGTGACATCGGTGGGAGTTGCTGGTGTTTGCGATGCTGCTGAACCCTCATCCTGATGAGGGAAAGCAAGGAAAGAAAAACAAGATGGCTTGATCAAATTTGACTTTTTTTTAATGTACTTTTACTAGCAGGTAGGTGAAATAACCTTGAAGAAAGACAATTTAATCAATGTGAACAGAACATGACAGAAAGAACTAAAAATGCTACTTTTCTGTAAGTTTCTTTGACAAAAAAGAAAAAAGAAAAATGAAAGGTGTCTTTGTCTATATCAGGAAAAAAATGACTGTTCACAAACATGACAAAGAGAATAGTTGTATTACATGGTGTTAAAATAAAACATTAACCCCACCTTGAGTGATTTATTAGGAACCTTCCTCACTCTTGCAAATTCCAACACCATATGGTAAACTCTACACCCAAACTGTTGGACTCTGATTATGGTGGTATGCCTGACCCCATGTAAAGCATAATCAGTTTACTAGTGCAGTCCTCACTCCAACAGATTCCAACAAACCCTCGTGTTGGAGTTTGACTGGATGGGGATTGTTAGGGTTAAACTTTTTCAGTTTTTACCAGAAATAATGTTAAAATTAACTCACTGTTGCTGCTGATGCCCATGTGCTCTGTTTGTCCGAATCCAAGATATTACTTCCAAATTCAACCAGGATCTAAACAAATTAGCAATAACAAAAAAGTTTATATTTTTATTACAAAACTTAAGCTATTTTTAAACTTAATTATTCTTTTGGTTTCATTGTTTCTTCAACACCTGAAAACTTCCTCAATTTAAGATGAAGTCATCTGGCATTTTTTCATTTTTGTCTTTTAGTTTTGTAAGACAAAAATGGAGAAGGCAGTTACGACATTTATTAAAAACCTTCAGGAAAGTTTGAACCAAAAAAAGATTGATTTCTGCCCAAAGCTCACAAAATGCACCATGCAAGCAAATTGGGGCAATTTGTTCAAATTGAATTTTATCCAATTTATTTTTTATGGCCCAAGTTGCGTGCAACAGAGCTGTGAAATAGCAGGGTGATACCGATATATCACATTTGGAAAATTCTAAATTGGATTGCATTTTAGGTATTAGCAATATAGCCTGGCCCAAAAGTGCATTGCCAGGGGCCTCTTTACTTTTCCTCATTCAATTACACAAACCGTGAGTCAAGATGAAACTAGGCTATCATACTAAATGGCGTTATGTGGCATAATAAATTATTTACATATCAAGACCAGCTACATTACTCAATCCCATTCTGTAACCTGATGTGCTGTCTACAATGTAATCCCCTGTATATTTGCTAATGCAACATATATCTCACACTGTAAGGCAAATTTAAGGGTAATACGTGTACAAGAACATCTGCTTTTGCTGTAATTTTTAGAAATGGATGGATTTTACACCAAATATTGTTACATTGACCTGTTAAAAATGTTGTGTTCATAGATGCTGGACAAAGCAAGAGAAACATGCTGTTCTTGTAGCAAGAGAAACATGCTGTTCTTGTATACAACATCTGCTTTTGCTGTAAGTTTTAGAAATGGATGGATTTTACACCAAATATTGTTACATTGACCTGTTAAAAATGTTGTGTTCATAGATGCTGGACAAAGCAAGAGAAACATGCTGTTCTTGTCGCAAGAGAAACATGCTGTTCTTGTAGTCGGGTTCCCTGACTCTACTTCAGATGAAACCGAGCAATTAGGGAATTGTTAGGTAAGGGAATCAGACTAGCTTGCTTGCACCCTTTTACGGATGTGTTACCGATTGCAATTAAAAATGTGGACATAACTAAATTTTGGAAATTGGGGGCAGTATTTGAAAAAAAAAAATAGTTTGTTTCAAACGATGGTCGGCTGACTATCGTTGCAAATTGATACAAATATTCCACTTTTCATGAAAAGGACATAAACCATTACCAAGTGCAACAATTCTCACAGGATGTTTGAGATATTGTTCACTTACAGTCAAGTAAGATACATTGTATTTCATAATAGTTTGCTAGTTTTGTTTGCAAATGTTGTATAACTATTACATGTAAGAAACTATTATTCCTTCAATTTCATCAGTATACAATGCATTTCTCTGAACAATCATGTCTTCAAATGTTTCTATGTTGGCGAATCAAGTCTAATGACAACAATTTTTTCAAAGTTACCACCCAAAACTATTCATTGTTTTGTCTTAAATTAAATCAAAGTCAACATTTTAGTCCAGAAAATACTGCAAAGAAACAGTTGAACAGATTGTTTTAAACAAATTTGTATTGTAGTTCCCTTGGCACTTCTTCAAATTGCTGTCGACCATTTACTATCGATAAGCCTGTTTCAAGATATAGTCAACAGTCATAGTAAGAGCGCCCTCGCACGGTTGTGCATAAGAGGCATTTGAAACCAACTTACCTCCCCAAATGCCTCGACAGTAGACTGTTGTTCCTGCTCTGCCAAACCTGTCAGCTGCTTATCTTGGAGTTGTAGTAGGTCATTCATCAGAGAAACTGTCTTTTGTACATCTCTGTTAAAAAAAAATCAATTTGCAGTTGAAGAAAGAATGTCGACTGATGAAAGGGGATTGGAATCTGTGGCCTCAAGCAGGGCAGTTCAAGGTATCATATTGGGGGGGGGGGGGCTGAGTTTTGAAGGAAAAAAAATAATATTAAGACATTAGGCTTCAAGAAACAACTACAAATCTAAATCATCTGCTTCTCAGCTTTCTGGGACCACAATATTTGCAGCAGTGTTGTAGTCGAGACCAGATAGTCTGAGACCGAGACCAAGACCGAGACCTGAAGTTGCGAGACCGAGACCGAGACCGAGACCAACCCCTTCAAGGCGGACTGAGACCGAGACCGAAATGGTCCGAGACCGAGACCGAGACCGCGGACAATAAATAACAATAATCTAAATAAAAAAACAAGACACTAATTACAGCTGAACAGTCTGCCCTTGAGATGATGATGTTGATGGGGATGTGAAGGAAGTGATTGAAAGTTAGGAATCACTTGTACCTGCTTAATTGTGTCATGCGAGTGCTCTTCATGTTTGCTTCATACCATAAATTACAACATGGCAACAGAATTTGTTATTGTCCAATCAATTTTTAAAAAAAGGGAAACAACCTAATTTAAAGAAGGGGAAAACCTAATTTGATGAACTCCATATATTGTTGCCACTTTTTAAAAACATATGTTTTTTTAAATATAATATTGTTTAACTACTATAAAGTGTCAATCTGATGAAGAAACTCCAACTTCATAGGAGTACGACAATTTGTACTAGTTTTTTGCAATGTTGAAACTTGACAAAAGTAAAAAGTTAAAGGTGGATTTGAAAAGTAAAAAGTTAAAGGTGGATGTTTCATCTGTTATAGGAACTAAACTAAACTGTTACAGGACCCTAAACTCCACAGCCACCCCTTGGTTTCAGCAATGACTACTAACAGATATTTAAAAGCAGCTTTAATTTTACATTGGACCTCCTTGTAAACCTGATTCAAAAAACAATTGGAGCAAGAAAATATTGATTTATTTTTTAAAATTTCAGTCATGGAATATAGACTTGTACATGTAGACCCAAAAATTGAGAGGTGGTCGCAAGAGAGGCCTGGCTTAGGCTGAAATGTAATGCCACTTTATTTGTGTATAACGTCAATACCATTACATACACTATAGAAGATCGATGAACCCTATTTGCCTGATCTATCTTCTGTTAATCTGCCCGCCGTCATCATCGCCATTAGCCTATTTGAGAATATGGCCGACACAATAGAAGGGCGCTGTCACAACCTGAATGTGGTGGGCGAGATGTACTTTTGGGATTCATGGCTCAGTACCCACGCCTCTCTGTGTTTTGTACCAGCGTATCACCCGCATCGGCTACTATGCCGGGCGATTTACTTGAATATTTTAGTAATTTACAAGTACAACATATTGCCAATATTTCAATCGTTTATTGTGATGGCCGTAAACAGCATTTAGCGATTAATGGAAACAAAAGTCTTCTCGACTCATGCAAATGCAATTGACATTTAGAAAGGAGACAAGACAGGCAATTAGACTCTATTTTTGTGTGACTATGGCAGTAGCTCAATTTGTGTTTATCACAGATGAAAAGGTGAATACATGACAAGTCAAAAATAAAGTGACAGTATGATAAAGAAAAAGAAATGGCACCCTCCATTTTATAAAAAAAAATATAATTGGGATAAAGAACATATTATTGAGTAGTAACTCTGAAAATTTCACGTAATTTGAATTCTCTATTCCCAAGTCGTGCCTATTTTAATAAAGAGATCACAAAATGCAGCTGTCCACCACTAATAGCAATTTAACGGTCTACAAATTGATGAATATCCATTAATAACTATAATGGAAAAAAAACGTTTTCCCGCCTCAACGAATAAAGTAAAAATTGAAAAGAAAAATAGAAAAAAATCACCAATATTTCTGGGGAAAAAGAGTTCAATTTTTCCCCATATTCAAAACAAAAAATCTGACGGTAAGAATACTGTTTCAATCTTGATTCATAAGATTTTAATCCCAGTTGTATTTGGAATCAATGAGGATGGCTATAAAGTGCTTGTTTCAACAAACCATCCCACAATAAAAACAAGAAATAAGAAAAGGAGCAATGGTTGTTGGACTATGCCTCACTCACTAGAAAGTGAAGAGAGACATGTCTATCAGCATCACACTGCAGTCACATTTGCCCTCAACTGATTCTTTACTTAATCCAAAACTGGGGCCGGGGCGGAATCCGCCCCCTCACTTTTTGGCTGGTCTCGACTCGAGACCAGCCAAAAATCGAGACCAAAGGGGACCGAGACCGAGACCAAGACCGAGACCACAGCTCCCGAGACCGAGACCGAGACCGGCAAAAAGTGGTCTCGAGACCGAGACCGAGACCGAGACCGGTCTCGAGACCAGTGTTGTAGTCGAGACCGGATAGTCCGAGACCGAGACCAAGACCGAGACCTGAAGATTCGAGACCGAGACCGAGACCGAGACCAGCCCCTTCAAGGCGGACCGAGACTGAGACCAATATGGTCCGAGACCGAGACCGAGACCGCTGATAATAAATAACAATAGTCGAAATTAAAGAAACAAGACACGTTATTTATAGTTGAAAAATGTAACCTTTCTATTCACAAAGAATACAGACCAAAATTTTGACCAGTGGCAATGTTGACAAATTGATACATGACACCTTACTTGAGCAAAAAGTAGTTACACTTAAGAAATATGGGCTTTGATGACATGTTGTCTACAACCAATCGTGACAAAAGTAAAAAGTTAAAGGTAGATGTTTCATCTGTTATAGGAAATCGGATCCTAAACTCCACAGTCACCCCCTTGGTTTCAGCTATGACTTCTAACGGATATTTAAAGATGCAATTTTAATTTTACATTGCCTTTTTTTTCCTAAAATAAATTTAGGACTTAACTTCTAACAAGACTTGTGTACTTGATTTTAAAAAATGGGAGCTAGAAAATGTTTAATTAATTTTTAAATTTTTGTCATAGAATGTGGAATGTGGACCCACAAGTTGCGAGGTGGTAGCCAGAATGTGCCAGATATGGATTTTTAATTTTTTTCTGAACGGGATTTTTAATTTTTGAGGAATAATGGGGTACTTTAAAATGAGCAGCCATAAAATGGGGTCTCATCATACACTCTCATGGCAACAGTGAGTGGTAACTGGTAAGAGTGTGTGAGTTCAAAGCTGGAAAATCAGGTAGAAAAATTTACTTTTTCTTCAAAATACTGTCCCAAATTAAAGAGAACATTGTGTGGGGTCGAATATATAACTATTAAATTTGAAGCACCTCATTTATTATCAGAATACAACATGCAAGTGATTACGCCCACAGGGGTGGGCTAAACTACACAATCCCCGAAAATGGTTGACCCTTATTGCATAAATTGTTACAAGTTTATACTTTGCTTTATGTGGCCGACTCAACAGATAAATGCCGAACTTGTTCCAAATTGTTCAGTGACTGGTACTGCTGCAGTTTTACATGTACTTTGGGGACTTTCCAATGTGCAGTCGAGTCCAAACCGACCGCGATATATAACAAGCTTGATCTACGGGCTAGCAAATGTTTTAAATAACAACGGTACTAAACGAAGTGAACACAAAGTAATCGATCGAGCTGTAAAAGCTACATATTGCCGGTCTCGACCCGAGACCAGCCAAAATATCGAGACCAAAGGGGACCGAGACCGAGACCAAGACCGAGACCACAGCTTCCGAGGCCGAGACCGAGACCAGCAAAAAGTGATCTCGAGACCGGTCTCGAGACCGAGACCGGTCTCGAGACCTACAACACTGCTCGAGACCTACAACACTGATTTGCAGACAGATGGAACTGATTGAGCAATGCTTATCCCAGCTCACTTGCTGAGTGAGTCTCAAGTTCATTAAATCAAATATTCATTCATTAAAAAAGCACTACCTTTTTGATTTTTTTATTTAATTTGTTTATTTTAGTGTGATTAAATCCTTTGTCAATATCAATTCTTAACTGCATGATTAAAGGCATATATGAATGATCATTTGCATTTATCCAAAACCTACCAAAATATTATCAAAAAGTTTACTTGGATTAAAGATCATAGTGGTACTAAACACCCCGTGAAATTACTCCGTCTGGCTTACTGCAATGTCGAAGAAATTTATCAAGAAATGTAGGTGATTTCAAATGATCAGCCAATTGACAGATTTTTGGAATAATGAGTGTTATTGGCAAAATCATGTTTGTGATCAAAGGTTGTGCATGGTTTTTCACTGTTTTCTCAAAAAGGGTAATATCCACTGAGCTCAAACTTCAACAGGTCAGGTTTTGAACGTTCTTCTTTGGATATTGAGTGGTGTTATTATTGGAAATAAACAACATGCATGAAAAGTAAATGACCCTATATATATATGCCGTTAAGTTGTAACCCACAAACACATGTAAGAAATCTTCTGTTTTGTTTACCTAACAAAGAAGAATTGATATTTTCTTGATAATTTGACTGCTTTAAAAAATGTTTTATGTATTAAAAATTTTACCGGTTCTGTACTGTGGAGCTGGCTACCGTGTTATTCAGCACTGATTGTGCTAACACGCCGGCAGATACCGATTCACTTTCAATCTGAAATACAAAACAGGCATAAAGGGCGTCGCTATCGTGAATCAAATTACATCAGACGGCTCACATTATAATAAATAAAAGTTAGGCCATGCTACAAAGTACAAGAAGGTTGAGGGTAGACAGTGAATTAATAACCAGGTGTGTGAAAACAACCAATGCTGATAGCAGATCAGGGTTCACTTGATGAAACAAAGTTCAGTGAGCTTTTCCCTGATATTTCCCTCAGAGTTTCAAAATTTCAATGAATAAAAAATATTTTCACTTTAAAGAGGTTGCTGAGAAGTCGAGACCAGATTGTGTAGCACAGCCAATTGTTATTGTGTGAAGTGGTGTGTGGTATTCACACTGCATAAACACTGAAAAGCTTCCACAGCCAGTTAGTCAATGAACATGGCACAAGACGCACATACGCCAAACTGACCAAAAACCTTTCCCTTCTGGGTCACTGTCAAATTCCCCGAGCTTTCCTTGAATTTGTTGTTTCTTTATCCCAAATTCCCCAAGTTTTCCCAGAGTTTGACTGGAAAAATGAAAAGTCATTTTGAAAAGACATGAAACTTCCATTCATAACATTGGAATAGCCATCATAATTACCTGCCTGTAGATATCATTGATCCATGGTGACGTGCACTGGCTGAGATCTGGACCCATTGCAGACCACTGAACTGGGTTCTGTTTGTCACACTGCCAGTAAGCTAACCCTAAACAGAATGCAACGGTATTGCATTTCAATTTCAAGATGAAAAACTAAAGTAAATCTAAACAGGAAACAACAATTACAAGGAGGGGATAGACTTATCTGAATCTTTTCCTGATTGAATACACATTGAGAAAGAACTTGTTGACTTAAGTATTACGGGGCAGACTCCATGTGCAATAACAATGAAAAATAGAATACATAAAGTACCACCGTCTTGTGGGGGAGTGTGGCCTAGTGGTTAATGTTTGTGACTCATGATCAGAGGGTCAGGGGTTCGAATCCACCTGCTTGGTCATATCTTGTGTCCTTGGGCAAGCCACTTCACCCCTACTAGCCTCTCTCCATCCAGGGGTATAAATAGGTACCAGCATTAGTTTGGGAGTAACCTGTGATGGACTGGCGATAATTAGTCCATCCACAGTAACCAGTAATCATGGTAATTGGACTGGCACTATGTAGCGCTGGCTCTTTGGAACAATACGCGCCATGCGCAATGCTGAACACGCACACCAGCATGCCTTTGCACACAAATACCGCGTCATGGAACAAGAATGATCCTAACTTTTCAAGAGCATTTCCCATTCCCCATGGGCGGATAGTACTTTTTGAGGCGCGGCGTGAATGGGAGCAATAACGAATGTCATGTGATGTGAGTTCCACCAATCAAATGACAAGGATCTGTCGGTTATACAATGAGAAGAGTCAGTTAGCCAGCAACGCATCCTTCAAACACCATAGCACCCACATATTGCAACCTACCATCTTGTCCATCAGGGCATCTCTGGACATCAGTCTTGCCATCCTGGGTGGTTCGCCACTGAACCCCGGAGCGGTTGACGGCCGGGCAGAAGACTGGAGGGGTTAAGGTGGCCACACCATACGTCAGAGGGTAGGCTGCTGTTGCTTCAGTGATATCTGAACGACATGAAAAAAAAAAACAAGATTAGTGCTCAACTAGTCACGCTGGACCAGACAGCCTCTGTCATGTCAGTTTAGAACTTTGGAGCTCGTACATTGAAATAAGCCATTTGCGAGTTAAATTTGAATAAAATCTGGAACGCTGACTTAATACAATGCTTTGCACGTTTTAACCTAGCATTCTCCCAACCAAAGAGACTGTTACTATATCACGTGATTCGGGGCAAGCCTTATGCTAGCAACCCCCAGCTCCGGCATGGTCTGGTGTCTTTGTGCCATTCTCACCCATTGTGAACGATGTATTGGTGCTGAGCGTCTCTTACGTAACTATGCAAGAGCTTGCCCCGAATCATGTGATTAGCAACAGTGTCTTTGGTCTGGAGAATTCAAAGTTAAAATGTGCCAAGCATTCTGAGCAAGTCATTGTACCAGACGTTTTTCAAATGTAAATCCCAAAGGGTATAGGTTACTCGCAAATGGCTTATTGTCTTTTGGAATCATTACTCACTTGCTAAACACTGATAACTGATGTCAAGGTATTTGAAGACTCCCTGGCACGGATCGCCGAAGACGTCATCGGACGCGGTGACGTTACATGAGGCGTAGCCGTTACATCTGTTGTGGTGGAAAAAGTAACACAAAAATATTTGGCGACTGAATTGCATTAACTAGTTGTGATCCACTTCATTCTGAAAGCGTCAATTAATAAAATCAATGCAGTTTGCTGAGATCGAAGGTTTATTATGCCCACTTGTTCCAAAAGTTGTAAAACTTATTACAAGCGTCATTTCAATGGCTGAAACATGTCCTGTAACAGAGTGTACCGTCCACTGACAATGAACTCGAGCATTAGACCTCAGTTTAAGGAGAACTGCAAAATTGAGATATTAGCTGATTAGAACTACTTCATACGTCTTTAGTTTTATTCATTCTCAAGTGATTAAAAAAGTTTCAAAATTTCAATTTTATTCGCAGTTTACGGTATAATTTGTCTGTCTTGAAGACTTGTTTTCATTGGTACTAACATGATCGCCTCGAATGCATGGTTGGTAGTCTTGGGGCTTATATCGGAAGTACTACTAACAACTTTGACTTAGTACCCGTACTTCGAGTTGGCTGGAAGTTTATACATATCGTTAGTAACCTCAGAGAGTTAGCTCCTCTTAGTTTTAGTCCATCGCATTGGAACATTAACCGTTTTTTCTGATTGGAAGTCAATATTCAGAGCAATATGTAAAACCCTTTAAAACAGTGTTAAAGTAACCGTCACACAGAGTCTACTCATTGTGCAGTGATTTGAAGTGTTACAGATACTCCCCAGAAGATTACCTCTAAGGAATTTGAAGTGCTAACTCTGTGGGCAAAAATGATTTTGCAAAACTTGAAGGGTTGTGAAGTGCACAAGACCAGATAGGTGGGTTAACCAATGAAAGAAGGGCCTTTAGTTCATACATATTTATGAGGTGTAATAACAAAATGATACCTTCTAGCTACGATATCCAGTGTCATGAGCGAGCGACAGTCTGTCACTGATAACTCCCCTGGACGTAAGGTGCTCTCCGAGCATACTGAGCTTGCCCGTAACCGTCCGTACGCTGCGACATCCACGCGGATGTGTGGCAGGCCTAATGGTTTCTGGCATGATAGCTTGGCTGTGAGGGATTGGCAGGTCTCTGTGTGTACGTTGTAGGTATCTGTGGAGGAGCCAGGGTTGTAGATAAATCTTCACTATAGTCAATGACTTATGAGTCGAATCACAAGTCAGTCGTAAGTCAATCCAGGTCCTTCAGTCACAAGTCAAGCTTTTCAACTTCAAGTTAACTGCGAGTCAAATTTGACAAAGATATTCCTTTTTTCCTTGTTCATTCCCTGTTTACTGGTGGCTTTGCTTGTGACTGACTTGTGATTTGACTTGTGATGGCCTGATGTTTAACTTGTGATGGACTTGTGATTTGACTTGTGATATGACTTGTGATTTAACTTGTGATGGACTTGTAATTTGACTTGTGATAGACTTGTGATTAGACTCGTAATGAACTTGTGATTTGAGTTGAGATTGGTTTTTATTGACTTGTGAGTCAACATGTGATTCAACTTGTGATGAACATGTGATTTAATTTGATATTGAATTATTTGACTTGTAATTTGACTTGTGATAGACTTGTGATTTGACTTGTGATAGACTTGTGATTTGACTTGTGTTGGAATTGTGATTTCACTTGTGATAGGCTTGTGATTGACTTGTGATTGACATGTGATTGACTTTGTGATGGACTTGTAATTTGACTTGTGGTTAGACTTGTGATTGACTTGTGACAGACTTGTACTTCAACTTGCGAAGGACCGGTGTTTGACCTGTGATGGACATGTGATTTGATTTGTGATCTGACTTGTGACGGACTCCACTACAGCTTAAGGGTAAACAAATAACAATAAATGAATTGAGCAGTGTATCTAGATTCAAACTGCCTTGTCAACAAGAAATGGAGCAACTGTCCACAAAAAACACTGACATGACCAACCATACTTACCTCGACACCTGTAGTGCACCTTGACATATTTTGGATGGGTAGGGCAGGGATCAAGATCCCGTATCAAGTCATCTGTGACAGTGACCTCACAGCGTGTCTGACCCTCACATCCGGGTAGAAGGATCTAAAACGAATCAAAACCAAAACTTTTCTGGATGCAGACACAGAGAAACAAACAACAGCGAACACACTAGAACTGAATACATAAGTGGTTGCTGGCTCACAGTCAGCTTCGGTTAATTTCTGTGCTCAATCTTAAACCGATTAAAAGTCATAAATGCAAAACCGAAACCAACCTGACCCGACTGAAATGATGGAAAAACCGACCCAACCCGACCCGAAGTCGGTTTCGGGTTGGGTCGGTTTCGGGTCGGGCTTGCACAACATTATTGCTGAAGTCATTTTTGAATGAAATAAAAAAAAAACACTCTTGACTCTAAGGCCAAAAAAAAAATAGTCAGTCTCTGGTCAGACCGAAGTTCCAGAATTGATGCGGTGACGCAGGTTTTTTTTTTTTTTTTTTTTTCCAAGCTTGTATTGTACAGACAAGGTGGGTACTATTTTCCTTTTTGGTGTCCTCATTATACATTGGTGTCCTCCATAATTTGCCTTGGTGCCCTTTATCATTTGCCTTGGTGCAATTTCCCCATTCCTTGGTGCTCCTTGGTACAAAAATTTGAGGAGGTGCAGCAATAGAGGGTGCTGTTGTAGCTTCCGTGTTAATTTGAAGAAAAAAAAAGGTTGACGCGCATGATTAAAATCGACGCGCGCGCTGACCAGAGACCGAGTATTTTTTTTTTGGCCTAACTTGACTAAAACTAAAACGGGACAATTGCCTTTATGGACCAACTCCATATTTATTGGGAATAAAATCCAAATTTAGTCTTTTAAGTTGGACCAAGTCTTCTAACATGTATGTATGATTGGCCAGTCTTATTACCAGTTCTCGGAGGTAGGTGTTAATTTGGGAGGCACTGAACAGACAGTTGCCTACTGGCGCCACACCGGCGGGCGGACAGACATTATTGTTGTCTAGATGGAAGGTGGAGCCCACAATGCTCAGGTGTTTGTCGTGGTCACAGGTCAGGACAAGTAGAGAGTCACTACAAGATTCTTGTATCTGAAGATCTATTTGAAGAAATAATAAAAAAAAATATCATCAAACAGGGTTGAACATTTTTTTTAATCTAAAAATACATTAAAAGATATAGTTACAAATAAATAGAAAGTATTAAAAAAAATAAAAAAATAAAACTCACATCAACACTGCTTAGGGATAATATCATTTAGATTACCGTGAACTGGTCCCCCGTTTATTCCAGACAGGGCCCACTTTCATAGTGCTGCTTAACAGCCGACTTTGTGCTTACCGAGCCTCCATCTATTTCATAGGGACCGTTAAGCAGTAAGCGCAGTAAAAGCAGGCTTAACCTCAGAAGAGAACTTTGCTTAAATCAGTGACGTAGCAATAGAAATCTCCATGCGCGCGCAACGTTAACTGTAAGCACAATCACGGCATGAAATAATGCTTAAGCAGCAGCATGATTTTCTGCTATAGTAAGCACAACTTTTTTGCTTACTGTTAAGCATTCGAGCTGAAAGATAGACAGGGGTTTTCAGCAGACACCCGGCCTCCGCAAAATAATAAGGGGGGGGGGGGGGTTGGGTACGCTGTTCAAACCAGAAATTTTCAGAGAATAGGTGGCGCTCTTCAAGGCAGCACAATTACAGACATTGGTGCGACGTACAAGCGGGCACTCATGAAAAAAGGATGCTTGTGAAATGTGGCACTCATGAAAAATGGGCAAAAATTAGAAAATATTGCCTTGTAAAATTTACTTTTTTATGCCCATTTTTAAGTTCACCATCCCGCTTTTCCTTCATCAGTGTCCCAATTTCGCTTTTAAAATCTCCGTCTTCTCGCAATCTGCCACTCTACACTCCCCCCCCCCCCCAAGAAAAGTCTCCTTTAAACAGGGGTGTGAGTGACCACTGATAAAAAATGACTCAAAGCAGCTGAAAAAGTTGCAAAAAAGCCGAAGTTGTCTTTGGAAATCGCCTATGCTTTTGTGAAAAAAAAAAAAAAAAAGTAAAAAAAAAATGAAATCAGCTTTGCAGAGATTTCACACCCCTGTTTAAATATTGAATCGAGTCTTCAAACTAGGTTGATGAAATATCGAGGAATGTTTCTGGAAATTTTGAAGAAATATGCTGGCTAGAGTCAGTAAAATTGGCCTGATTTTGTTCTGCATGCTTTTGAACACTTATGCACCCGGCCGTGTGCGTGCAGATCGCGTGCACACGGCCAACCTTAATTTTGCCAAAACGTAACAACCCGTACCTCGACTAAGCCATCTTTACGCATTCCATGGTATTGAAATAAGTGAAGACCATTCACATAGATTAATGCCATTTGTAATTTGGTTTATTTTGCGCACAACCTTCGAGACGGAATGAACAAAATATACCTTAAGAAAAAGTGAACTGAAACTCGCTCCTTTGAAGTCTCAAGTTTTGCACTGTTTTCTATGAAGTCAAAGGGACGAGAAGTGGCTGAAGGTTGACTATAGCAGCACATACTACGAGGGCCGATTCCATGAGATCAATCATAGTTAGTGGAATTGGCCCTTGTATTATGGAAAACTCCTTTAGTCTTCCAATTGCCCTCTCAACATGAATACGAGCATCGGCAACTGTCTTGGTCTTTGTATCCTCCGACTCAGTAAACTGGGATGTACTAGTCGTTGTACGCATGAAAGGAGGAATGACAAGCTTTACTTGCTTGTGCAGCAAGAGTTCATGGATGTTGAAGCCCCTGTTAGCCATAAGAATGTCATTGGGCTCAAGGCGATCTATGATGTTTGTCATCTTGACAATCTTCTTGTCTGACGTGTTGCCTCCTGTTGGTTTAGAAATGAAGGAGATTGTACCCCCTAGTGTAATTCCAACAAGGTACTTTAATGTTGGCGGTGACTTGTACTGGCTGTACACTTGTGAAATGGATGCCGCTAAGGAGGGTCGCTCGATCTGAATCTCCGTGCAGTCTATAATGCAGTGACTGTTCCCTTGTATTTGCAGAAGCATTGAGGGTAGTATTTGTAGATGTCTTCTTCACTTGGCCAGTCTATGAATGCTTTAAAGGGAATGTACAACATTTGCTGTTGCTGCAATTTTCAGAAATAAATGAATTTGGAGGATAAGTATGTTATAGCAAATATTGTTAAAACGACTTGTTTCACGTTTTGGGCTTGTAGATGCTGGAAAAACCAAGAAAACCATTCATGTTCTTGTAGTCTGGTTCCCTGACCCTACTTAAGATGAAACAGAGAATTTATAGACTTTGGGGCATTGTCAAGTCAGAGAATCAGTCTAGCAGGCTTGTACCCCTTCACAGGTGCGTAATCAATTGTAAAGAAAGTGCGGAAAAACTAATTATGAAAAAGTAGGAACAGTTTTTTTAAAAAGCCAGTTTTCTCAAACACTGGTCGGCCGACCAGCGTTGGAAAATACCATTTTTCTTGCGAATGTCAGCACACCAGGGGCCACGATATCACAGGATGCTTCAGACTGTCATTCCCTAACAATCCAGTAAGGTATTTTCTGATAATATGATCATTTCGCTCTGTGATGTTTACTGTTGTATCTTCCCTTTAAGTAAGCTCTCTATCTACAAGAGGGAGCCAGGTTGATATAACCTGAGACACAGTGCTCTGAGAAACTCCAAATCGGAAGGCCAGATCATCTTCTCTGAGATTAAGACGAAGCTTCATTAGTGTCATCAATAGTTCATCTTCTAAAGCTTGCGACCTCTTCCGCCCTGGTTTATCACTGTTCTTTAGCTGGTAGGCTTTGTCTTCAGCTGATCTTTTGCCCTTATAGTAGTGCATGTTCTTAGTGTGTGGCTTAATTTCTTCAAAAAGCCATTCAAAAAGCTGATATCTGGGGAGTCCAGTATAGAGTTTAATGAGTTCATTTGAATGGCAAATATCTCTGATGGAAAATCTCTGTTTTGTTTTAGCTTGGGCCTCAAGTTTAAGTCTGTCAATGTTACTCTTGGCTTCAAGAAGATTTCGCCTGAGTTCTCCACAGTTGTCTGTTAGTTTAGCAAGTTCGTCTTCTAGGTGGGCTACGTACACTGGACTGACGGGCTTGTTACGGAACGGGAGATGTACGTAGTTGTGATCGTTCTCCAGTGCTTTGAGTTTGACATCGTCAATATCACCAGGGTTTACCTGGATTCCTATTGACCTGTACGGCAAAGTCCTGATTTTCTTAGGCTGAGGTGTAGTAACGTCTAATGCTCGCCTCTTCACCGGTGCCCTTTTCGGTGTCTCAGGAAGGTCGTATCCTCTCAAAAATAAAGACGGATGGAGTTCATCAGGATATGGCTGGCCGTATTTAAAGTGGTTGCTGCAGACTGTAGTCGATGCTTTTACTCTGAAATCCTTCCGTTGGATCAGTCGGGTCCAGAGAGGGAAGTATTTCTTATCCCGGCATGAGTGGAACCTGAGTGTGTTTACATGCTCTTTGATGACATATCTATCAAGAGAAGAGGAAACGTAAAATAGTGATATTTATTATTTGATGATTTTTGAAAAAATAAGAAAAAAAATCACGTAAGACTTTTCAAACATATTTCATGAGTAAAACAATGGAGTAGGCTACATGTAGCTAGCTGGAATAGCTAGGCCTACTTAGCATGCTTTATACTAGCATTTAAAAATATATATCTTCGAGTCACCATAATTGACGCAGGTATAACGCTTGCAACGCGTGCGCATTGTCCAACGCAAATTGAATGCGAGTGCAGCATAACATATCCTCGTCATTTTTTTAGGGGGTCTGACGATACATACATTTTGTACATCATACATACATTTTTTTTTTTTTTACATTTATCGTCAGTCTCCCTAAAACGACGAGGATCTATTTCGACACATGATGCACTCATATTTAAAGGGAATGTACAACATTTGCTTTTGCTGCAATTTTCTGAAATAAATGGATTTGGAGGATTAGTATGTAATAGCAGATATTGTTAAAATGACTTGTTTCACGTTTTGGGCTTGTAGATGCTGGAAAAACCAAGAAAACCAATCATGTTCTTGAAGTCTGGTTCCCTGACCCCACTTAAGATGAAACGGAGCAATTTATAGACTTTGGGGAATTGTTAAGGTCATATAATCAGTTTAGCAGGCTTGTACCCCTTCACAGGTGTGTAATCAATTGCAAAGAAAACGCGGAATAACTAATTATGAAAAAATAGGAGCAGTTTTTGAAAAAAAGCCAGTTTTCTCCAACGCTGGTCGGCCGACCAGCGTTGGAAAAATACTGTTTTACTTTAAAATGAAAACACACCAGGAGCCACGATTTTACAGGATGCTTTAGACTGTCATTCCCAAACAAACCAGTGGGGTATTTCATGATAATTTGATCTTTTCGTTTTGTGATGTTTGCAAATGTTGTATCTTCCCTTTAATTTGCGTTGGCCAATGCGCGCACATTGCAAGTATTACCTGTGCCGATTATGGTGACTCGAGAATATGTGAACAGAATAAACAATCATGAGACTGCCCGTAAAAGTCACACATTGTTCACTGACAGAAGTAACAAACCATTAAATGTTTTTCCAATAAGAAACCAGTCATAAAAGGGAGCTCTTGAAGGGCACTGCACAGTGCATGCAGGGTGTCCCGTGTTTCTTTTCCCCGGCTGCGTGCCGGTCGTTAGCACTTCGTGACTGCTTACCCCTAGAACTATGGGTAATGGGTAGCTCTACTGAGTGGAGCGTTGAATTACGGGTACCCCTCCATACCAACGCTCCAACGATTCGCCATACTTTGGTGGCACCGTCACAGTAGCATAGTCACAAACCCACGCGAGGACAAAAAGACCCCAAAAAACCAGTAAAGAGATTACAAATGAGAGAGACAGTTATCCTGGATTGATCTATACATTCTTGACATTCCATGAGACCCCTTATACTGTTCCCAAACAGCGAACATTTTGGGAAAAAAACAGCAAAATAGTCTGAAAACGTACAGCTCAATGTGTTTGCATGGAGGCTCAGTTCTTGAATTGACTGTCGAATGAGGGCGTCTGACGTGACGTCACCGTCGTTGCTTGATCGCGAAGAAAAACAAGTCACGCTTTATCAACGACTGTTTCGTGTAATGATACGTGCTCCGATCCGCGCCGTACGACAGTATGGGCTTTGAACACACCCAGGGTGGAGACGTCATTAATTTGTTTAGAACGTGTACGTTTCAGCCGTCTCCACCTTGGGTGTGTTCAAAGCCTATACTGTCGTACGGCGCGGATCGGAGCACGTATCATTACACGAAACAGTCGTTGATAAAGCGTGAATTGTTTTTCTTCGCGATCGAGCAACGACGGTGACGTCACGTCAGACGCCCTCATTCGACAGTCAATTCAAGAACTGAGCCTCCATGCAAACACATTGAGCTGTACGTTTTCAGACTATTTTGCTGTTTTTTTCCAAAATGTTCGCTGTTTGGAAACAATATAAGGGGTCTCATGGAATGTCAAGAATGTATAGATCAATCCAGGATAACTGTCTCTCTCATTTGTAATCTCTTTGCCGGTTTTTTAAAGTCTTTTTGTCCTCACGTGGGTTTGTGACTATGCGACTGTGACGGTGCCACCAAAGTATGGCGAATCGGTGGAGCGTTGGTATGGAGGGGTACCCGTAATTCAACGCTCCACTCAGTAGAGCTAGGTAATGGGTATTACTTGCAATACCCATAGGTAGGCACGGAAGAGACGGAACTGCACATAATTTTTGTCGTGGGCACATGGTGGGAACATCTTTTATTTTCTACACCACAATCTGACAATGCACAAAACAAAAAATGCAGTGGCTATCGTTACGGCAGCCGTAACGCATTTCCCATTTTCTATAGTTACAGTAGAACTGCAACTTTTATAAAAACATGAGAAGAAAATATAAAATTAGAAGGAAAAAAGTGAATTTGAACCTTATGAAATTTGGACTTTATTTTCCTTTAAAAATAAATCCTCCAAAGCCTTAGTCCGAGTAACTTGGACCCAACTTATCGCCTTTTTTAACATTTGGACATGGTCCGGCGATAGTGGGGTCCGAGTACTCCTAGAACTATGAGGCTCCGCGTGAGCGGAGCCTCATAGATGTAGAAGCCCGCAAAATTGTCTGCAGCACAAAACACTAATAAAGTACAAAAACGTCCATCAAAATGCAGACATTTCACACAGAACCGCTGCACAGTTTGCCCCTATACTCCGTACTTTACCTCTTGACATACTCACGTATCTTGGGCACAACTAACATGGGTGGATTCTGTCGGTTTTTAGGCCAAAATGATGAAAAATATGCCCTTTCCGCACTGAGCCAACCGAACACTTGAAACGTGCACGCATATGATCGAGCGATGATTTTCGGTTCGCTCGGAGCGCGCCGCGGGGGGTACGGTACAGGCGAAATGATAGTATGTGCATGCGTACAAGTGCATTACCGTACCCCCCGCGGCGCGCTCCGAGCGAACCGAAAATCATCGCTCGATCATATGCGTGCACGTTTCAAGTGTTCGGTTGGCTCAGTGCGGAAAGGGCATATTTTTCATCATTTTGGCCTAAAAACCGACAGAATCCACCTATGTTAGTTGTGCTCACGCGGAGCCTCATAGTTCTAGGAGTAGGGTCCGAGCTAATACCGCGACCTGGACAACATCATCCTGTCACTGTCCCAAAAACCAACATTTTCCAACAAAAAACATCAGATTTCACCTTCAAAACGGCCTCCAAATTACTAGATATGCCACCTGAGGTACCATCTTAATTATCGATGTCTACTTGTACCTCAGGTGGCATATCTAGTCATTTGGAGGCCGTTTTGAAGGTGAAATCTGATGTTTTTTGTTGGAAAATGTTGGTTTTTGGGACTGACAGGATGATGTTGTCCAGGTCGCGGTATTAGCTTGGACCCCACTATCGCCAGACCATGTCCAAATGTTAAAAAAGGCGATAAGTTGGGTCCAAGTTACTCGGACTACCAAAGCCTCAGGTTAGAAAAGGAGAAAAAAAGTTGAGTGCAAAACTGAGATGCGAACCCGCAACCTTGCGGTGCAAAATCCCATTCTTTATCGACTGAGTTGTCGCACTGCTCGCTAAAACATGGGGAAACAAATAATTATATACCTGCGTGCGTATCAAAAAAGTATCGTAGAGGGCGCTAAACAACGGTTGCCGTAACGATAGCCACTTCGAACAATAAATTTATGTATAACAAATATCATACCTTTCTGGATACCGTCGGTCATTATTGCAACCCAAAACAGCACAATGATCACCACCTCCCATCAGAGGAAAAACGTCAGAAATTATAAATGGACAGCCAAGAAATACACCCGTACCGCGCAGGTTACTGATTCCACTCACACTGATCTCTACAGGACTCTATACACGTTTTTTAGTGTAGAGATCAGTGGCGTAGCCTGGTTCCCAGACCAAAATGATGCTGACTATTGCAGCCTCGACTCCATGGGCGCGTGCGCGTTCCTTACACTAACCCCTGGCCGTGATGATGACGTAATGACGCTGAATGGCTATTCACAGCGTACTGCGCGCGCATTTCGAAGATTGCACGCCGGGCGGCGTAATTTTTTTTTCCTAGGAGGGTTAGGGGCAATGTCATGAATAATTCAGTTTTTCCTTTTGAATCATTGCAAGACTTAGGTTCTCGTTCCATTTTCCCCTTAATTTAAAATTATCTCCGTGATAAATTTGGAGAAGAAAAATAGCTGATGAAAATGAGCAGCGACGACGTGGATTCGAACCAGGGATCTTTGTATCCATAGCTCATCTCGCTATCCACTAGGCTACTGTGTGGTAGCTCGACGACAACCGTTATTTAAAATGCTTTAATGTATTGTAACTAGTTGAGTAACTAACAACAATGCTGTTGATGTCATTGTCCGTTCTCATGGATAAACATGAATTATTCATGACATTGCCCCTAACCCTCCTAGGAATAAAAATAACGCCGCCGGGCGCGCCCATAATGCGCTCGCGTGCTTTGCACGTAACGTAACGTACGAAAAAAAAATGTTATTCAAAAGTCGCGATGCCTGTACGATATGGATTATGGCAGCCAGTGTTGTAGTCGAGACCGGATAGTCCGAGACCGAGACCAAGACCGAGACCTGAAGTTGCGAGACCGAGACCGAGACCGAGACCAACCCCTTCAAGGCGGACCGAGACCGAGACCGAAATGGTCCGAGACCGAGACCGAGACCGAGACCGCGGATAATAAATAACAATAATTTAAATAAAAAAACAAGTCACTAATTACAGCTGAACAGTCTGTCCTTGAGATGATGATGTGATGGGGATGTGAAGGAAGTGATTGAAAGCTAGGAATCACTTGTACCTGCTTAATTGTGTCATGCGAGTGCTCTTCATGTTTGCTTCATACCATAAATTACAACATGGCAACATATTTTGTTATTGTCACAATCAATTAAAAAAAGGGAAACAACCTAATTTGAAGAAGGGGAAAACCTAATTTGATGAAGTCGATATATCTTTTTTATAATATGCTTTTTTAAAAGCATATTTTTTTTAAATATAATATCTTTTAACTACTATAAAGTGTCAATCTGATGAAGAAACTCTAACTTAGGAGTACGGCAATTTGTACTAGTTTTTTGCGATGTTGAAACTTGGCATGCCTACTTAGCATGCTTTATACTAGCATTTAAAAATATATATCTTCGAGTCACCATAATTGACGCAGGTATAACGCTTGCAACGCGTGCGCATTGTCCAACGCAAATTGAATGCGAGTGCAGCATAACATATCCTCGTCATTTTTTTAGGGGGTCTGACGATACATACATTTTGTACATCATACATACATTTTTTTTTTTTTTACATTTATCGTCAGTCTCCCTAAAACGACGAGGATCTATTTCGACACATGATGCACTCATATTTAAAGGGAATGTACAACATTTGCTTTTGCTGCAATTTTCTGAAATAAATGGATTTGGAGGATTAGTATGTAATAGCAGATATTGTTAAAATGACTTGTTTCACGTTTTGGGCTTGTAGATGCTGGAAAAACCAAGAAAACCAATCATGTTCTTGAAGTCTGGTTCCCTGACCCCACTTAAGATGAAACGGAGCAATTTATAGACTTTGGGGAATTGTTAAGGTCATATAATCAGTTTAGCAGGCTTGTACCCCTTCACAGGTGTGTAATCAATTGCAAAGAAAACGCGGAATAACTAATTATGAAAAAATAGGAGCAGTTTTTGAAAAAAAGCCAGTTTTCTCCAACGCTGGTCGGCCGACCAGCGTTGGAAAAATACTGTTTTACTTTAAAATGAAAACACACCAGGAGCCACGATTTTACAGGATGCTTTAGACTGTCATTCCCAAACAAACCAGTGGGGTATTTCATGATAATTTGATCTTTTCGTTTTGTGATGTTTGCAAATGTTGTATCTTCCCTTTAATTTGCGTTGGCCAATGCGCGCACATTGCAAGTATTACCTGTGCCGATTATGGTGACTCGAGAATATGTGAACAGAATAAACAATCATGAGACTGCCCGTAAAAGTCACACATTGTTCACTGACAGAAGTAACAAACCATTAAATGTTTTTCCAATAAGAAACCAGTCATAAAAGGGAGCTCTTGAAGGGCACTGCACAGTGCATGCAGGGTGTCCCGTGTTTCTTTTCCCCGGCTGCGTGCCGGTCGTTAGCACTTCGTGACTGCTTACCCCTAGAACTATGGGTAATGGGTAGCTCTACTGAGTGGAGCGTTGAATTACGGGTACCCCTCCATACCAACGCTCCAACGATTCGCCATACTTTGGTGGCACCGTCACAGTAGCATAGTCACAAACCCACGCGAGGACAAAAAGACCCCAAAAAACCAGTAAAGAGATTACAAATGAGAGAGACAGTTATCCTGGATTGATCTATACATTCTTGACATTCCATGAGACCCCTTATACTGTTCCCAAACAGCGAACATTTTGGGAAAAAAACAGCAAAATAGTCTGAAAACGTACAGCTCAATGTGTTTGCATGGAGGCTCAGTTCTTGAATTGACTGTCGAATGAGGGCGTCTGACGTGACGTCACCGTCGTTGCTTGATCGCGAAGAAAAACAAGTCACGCTTTATCAACGACTGTTTCGTGTAATGATACGTGCTCCGATCCGCGCCGTACGACAGTATGGGCTTTGAACACACCCAGGGTGGAGACGTCATTAATTTGTTTAGAACGTGTACGTTTCAGCCGTCTCCACCTTGGGTGTGTTCAAAGCCTATACTGTCGTACGGCGCGGATCGGAGCACGTATCATTACACGAAACAGTCGTTGATAAAGCGTGAATTGTTTTTCTTCGCGATCGAGCAACGACGGTGACGTCACGTCAGACGCCCTCATTCGACAGTCAATTCAAGAACTGAGCCTCCATGCAAACACATTGAGCTGTACGTTTTCAGACTATTTTGCTGTTTTTTTCCAAAATGTTCGCTGTTTGGAAACAATATAAGGGGTCTCATGGAATGTCAAGAATGTATAGATCAATCCAGGATAACTGTCTCTCTCATTTGTAATCTCTTTGCCGGTTTTTTAAAGTCTTTTTGTCCTCACGTGGGTTTGTGACTATGCGACTGTGACGGTGCCACCAAAGTATGGCGAATCGGTGGAGCGTTGGTATGGAGGGGTACCCGTAATTCAACGCTCCACTCAGTAGAGCTAGGTAATGGGTATTACTTGCAATACCCATAGGTAGGCACGGAAGAGACGGAACTGCACATAATTTTTGTCGTGGGCACATGGTGGGAACATCTTTTATTTTCTACACCACAATCTGACAATGCACAAAACAAAAAATGCAGTGGCTATCGTTACGGCAGCCGTAACGCATTTCCCATTTTCTATAGTTACAGTAGAACTGCAACTTTTATAAAAACATGAGAAGAAAATATAAAATTAGAAGGAAAAAAGTGAATTTGAACCTTATGAAATTTGGACTTTATTTTCCTTTAAAAATAAATCCTCCAAAGCCTTAGTCCGAGTAACTTGGACCCAACTTATCGCCTTTTTTAACATTTGGACATGGTCCGGCGATAGTGGGGTCCGAGTACTCCTAGAACTATGAGGCTCCGCGTGAGCGGAGCCTCATAGATGTAGAAGCCCGCAAAATTGTCTGCAGCACAAAACACTAATAAAGTACAAAAACGTCCATCAAAATGCAGACATTTCACACAGAACCGCTGCACAGTTTGCCCCTATACTCCGTACTTTACCTCTTGACATACTCACGTATCTTGGGCACAACTAACATGGGTGGATTCTGTCGGTTTTTAGGCCAAAATGATGAAAAATATGCCCTTTCCGCACTGAGCCAACCGAACACTTGAAACGTGCACGCATATGATCGAGCGATGATTTTCGGTTCGCTCGGAGCGCGCCGCGGGGGGTACGGTACAGGCGAAATGATAGTATGTGCATGCGTACAAGTGCATTACCGTACCCCCCGCGGCGCGCTCCGAGCGAACCGAAAATCATCGCTCGATCATATGCGTGCACGTTTCAAGTGTTCGGTTGGCTCAGTGCGGAAAGGGCATATTTTTCATCATTTTGGCCTAAAAACCGACAGAATCCACCTATGTTAGTTGTGCTCACGCGGAGCCTCATAGTTCTAGGAGTAGGGTCCGAGCTAATACCGCGACCTGGACAACATCATCCTGTCACTGTCCCAAAAACCAACATTTTCCAACAAAAAACATCAGATTTCACCTTCAAAACGGCCTCCAAATTACTAGATATGCCACCTGAGGTACCATCTTAATTATCGATGTCTACTTGTACCTCAGGTGGCATATCTAGTCATTTGGAGGCCGTTTTGAAGGTGAAATCTGATGTTTTTTGTTGGAAAATGTTGGTTTTTGGGACTGACAGGATGATGTTGTCCAGGTCGCGGTATTAGCTTGGACCCCACTATCGCCAGACCATGTCCAAATGTTAAAAAAGGCGATAAGTTGGGTCCAAGTTACTCGGACTACCAAAGCCTCAGGTTAGAAAAGGAGAAAAAAAGTTGAGTGCAAAACTGAGATGCGAACCCGCAACCTTGCGGTGCAAAATCCCATTCTTTATCGACTGAGTTGTCGCACTGCTCGCTAAAACATGGGGAAACAAATAATTATATACCTGCGTGCGTATCAAAAAAGTATCGTAGAGGGCGCTAAACAACGGTTGCCGTAACGATAGCCACTTCGAACAATAAATTTATGTATAACAAATATCATACCTTTCTGGATACCGTCGGTCATTATTGCAACCCAAAACAGCACAATGATCACCACCTCCCATCAGAGGAAAAACGTCAGAAATTATAAATGGA